TCTGACAAACGCTGTGGTCACCACAGACCTCCGAGGAAGCTCAGTGTTTGTTCTCAGCTTCACAATTAAAATGCCATCAGCAGAGATAAGCAACGTGGTAAATTCACAGGAACTGACATCGCTCTCATTCACACGGATCAGGACCGACGAGCCGAGATCGTGTTTTGCAGGTGAACAACTGACTCGAGCCGCCGGCAAACACAACATTTGGCAGCTAAAGCTAAATGCTAACGTTTGTATTCACAGACCATAAACTAGCTTACGAAATGTAATAATACCTGGGAACCGTTTTGGTATTCGTCTTTAAAGATAAATTGCATGTAACATGTTCATATTTTCACTGTCACACATACATCACTGACCACTCACAGCATCTGTATAGTTAATAATGCACTGGTTAATTGTTCACCTGGTTATCTTTGTCCACAGTTAATATGTAACACCAGTGACAACCTGAGCTGAACATGTGGATTTGTTTTTTAAAAACTGCGTTCATGCTGCACAGAAATGTACCGTATCTGATGCGTCGGGGAGCGGCTTTCATGTGCTGCAGACTTCTGGTGCCAAATGTTGGTTCTCTGATAGCGTCCAGCTACTCGTGATAACGAACAATTACCGACGATAACGAACTGTATGTTCTTTACGTAAGGGAGGGAAAGCAAACGCCCAAACCTACTGCAACCCAGATTAAGCCATTTACAATTTAGGTTCAATTTGATTTTACTCATTTGACTTGAAAGTGATCATTCTGCCTCACGTACTAGTTCCTAAATCACATACTTACTTTTAAAATGTAAAATTGCTTTGTTTACATTATAGATAATTGCAAATATTTCGAGCCCACAGCGCTTAAAGCATTGCCTTGTGTTGGTTGTGTAACAGCGGCGGAACAAAATGCGATTTTGCAGCATGTTTGTGCAGCGCAGCAGAAGCTGAATGCAACCGAAGCGCCTGCAGGCCCACTGGCTGTACAAGAGAATGCGAAATGACAGCTCCTTTGTAAATCCGACAAATCGTTGGACGGGAGGAAGACCTTGGGGGGGGGAGGGAGGAGGGGGGTCGAGGGTCTGCGGGATGTTGATGCAAGCGTATTTGTGTTTGCGTATTTGAGTGGACGGAGGCCAGAAGGAGACAGACACCGAGACGAGCATGTTTCTAACACGCAGGCTGAAACTCAGACGCACAGGTTTGTAATGCAAACATCAAATGGACACACTTCATGTGGGAAAATGTTACTGACAATTGAAGGTTACTAGCGGAAAAGAACATGGATAGGAAACTATAAACTAATCAACTGTGTGTTGGTTGAATATGAATGTTAATTGTTTGTGCAATATTAAGGATCTTTCCTTAACTGGAAACGTGTTGGAAACAAGCTGATTGTCTACGTGTCCAAGACAAATAGAAATAACATTTGCTCGTACAGGAAAAGGTGTGAATACGAAAATCAGCCTTTCCCTTCGTATGTTTTATTGAGAAGGGAATTATTTTATAATTATAGTTGTTAGAAGAATAAACTTCAGCCTTTACCTCCGAGCTCCAGCTTACACTCCACTTTATTTCAGGAAGTGATAGTAAACCACATTCATGAGGTAACTGACCACATGAAATTTGCTCAAGTACAAATAAACTAATTTGGATAAAAGAAAATAAGAGAAGCAGACAATGGATCCAAAGCAGCAGACCAGTGAGCTTCCCTTCGGCGACTTGAGGTCAATCAGATCTGGTCTCTGCAGATAATGATGATTGCTATTAATTATCGTGTTGTAATCCACAGAGGCATCAGGAAGCCGGATGGGCAGGGTGGAGTTTTTCTATCGCTTTGCTTCATGTCAGAAGCTCTGCTGCATGAGCTTGATGGCCTGAGTTCAGCGCTTGGAAGCTCGCGGTGAAAAAGCTTTCGACTCTCGGCAGCGATTCAGCTCAAAACGGTGCTCGATTTTATGTAAGCATCTTTATTCTTTTTTTTTTTTTGTGGAATGTATTGAACATTCATTAATTGGAATTAGACTTATTTTGAAATGCAATTCCCGTGACCTACTTGTCGCCCCCTTAAGACGCGATGCTCGCGTGTTGCCTCCGTGTTGGCAAAGCAAACACAAAGGCCTCCGGCATTTGAAGTAGAAACAGAGGCAGTAATGGGCCGGCCGATTTCCATCACACTTCCTCCCCAGTGAGCAACAAGACGCTCTCTGTTTGGGACCCACAGATCAAAGTGATGCACAAATACCGAGAGGGGTGAGGGTGTTGGGGAGGGGACAGGTTAGGCCACAAAGCAAGAGAGAGGTTACCACGGATTAGCGTCGCACATGTATCTGTTTACACATCACACAGTGCGCGGAGCGGCCATCAGAGTTTACGGGTTCGTGGCACGCGTGCATGCGCGAGGGTGCGACAGATTTAATGACTGACCTTTCAGCATTGTTCTTTTATCTGGTTCTCATCTTGTTTAGTGGCGTTGTCTGTTTAGATTGAAATCTCTAAACCCGTTTATGTCCCAAGTTCAGTATCACTTTCATATTTCACTATTCGCTTTTCTTTTTTTTTTTCAATTGAAACAAGGTGAACAGCAGTCAGACATTGTGGCAAAACGGATATCAGTAAATAAGGGAAAGCGGTTGTTTCAGAGGCTGATATTTTGAGTCACAACAACAAGGTTTACGCAGATTTCCTTCCTCTCAAATGATTAGGAATGAACAAAGGTTCGCATTTACTAACAATTAAGCCACCTTTTAATTGTGTTCATTCAGGGGTGTTTGGCACCTGAGGCTTAGTTAAGGCTCTGATTATCAGCTTATTTATTAAAGAAACAATGAAAACCGTTGTGACAAAGTGCTCCGCTGGTGAGCGTCTCGTTTCTGTGTCAAGGTCCTTCTTAAGATCCGACCTTCGAAATAGATCTCGTTATCTTAATGTAGCTCACAGCGGCTTTAATCCAAAGCCCCTCGGCCGGACGTAACGCTGTGAGGCTGCGCGCTCACTGACCCTGAAACCATCGAGGCCGACCGCTTTAATAAGATCACGATTTTCACCTTTGACCCCGATTCTGTGTGTCAAACAGGTGTGAGTTTCCCCCCCGACCTTGATTCTTCCTGCGAGCTCGAGTATCAAACATGTTGCGATGTTCGATGAGAGGTGTGAAGATATCTGCATTTAAGATAAATGTATATGTACATATATATTTATTTAACAAATCCTTTTTCCATGGGGTCGAGTTGAATGAATGAATCACTATCACATTCGCACAAAACACAAATAGCTTCACTTGGAGGAACTCACACATCGTTCAAGTTTGGGCTACAACCCATTATGTGTCAATCAAAATATGGACTTTTAAAGTGAGAAATAAAGAATTGTATTCATCATTAAAACACGCCCAGTGGTTCCATTGAGGCCCGGCTTGTTTCTGTTGGTCCACAAACAGAACCTTTGTGTCTCTCATCCACATCTGCTGAGACCTGATGTCCGCGCGGGCAGGAGGGGGACATGAATGGAATATCAATAGGAAAAACGGCTGGAGCGTTTTGTTTTTTTCATTCTGCCCGGCTGAAAAGAAGCGTCAGGGATCGGAGCTTAAACCCTGGACTCCCTCATTGAGATGCGTATGAGCCTCTCTCTGCCATATGCTCCTTATGCTCTGCCATTGGCCCCCCCCGCCCCCCAAAAAACTCTACCGCTCTTTTTTTTTTATTTTGGTGTCTGGCGAATAGCAAAGAGCCCCTCGCGCTGCTTTAGTAACGGACCACTTCTCCCTTTTTGACAATGGCCGGACTGAGCGGAGGCGGCGTGCTTTGAATGCTAACAGCGAGGAGCATAATGCACTCGAGTCTATTCGCGGCCGCCGTTCTCCATCTTCTGCGTGTGAGATGTTGGAGTTTTTTTTTTTTTTTCCCCCTCAGACATGTTGATGAGACAGAGCAGCTTGCAGGACAGACGTTCTGTGTACGTGCAGTACGAATGTGCGGTGCTTATGTGCACAGTGCGCTGCAGTGTTTAAAATAACGCCTGGTCGAGATTTTGCCGCAGAGGCGGAGAATGGCAGACGTCCATGTTTTTTAAGCCATTCTGCAGAAACAGCAAGAGCAGTGTTGCATTCTGGTCCTTGCACACCTGCAGAATAACGTTGTTATGTACATTGATAGTTTAAATATTAAAAATAAAAATTATTAGCCAGACTAACATGCTGTTTTGAGGTAAATAGATGCAGTGGGGGTTTTGTTTTCAGCCCGTGAGCACTTTTTAATCCACTTGATCCGTGTTGAAATCTAGTTCATGGACAAATTTGGATTAAGTGAAGTCTTACATAACGTACTCCCTGAAAGGAAATAAGACAAATCTAAATCTGCCCCGGTGGAGTTAGTTGGAACTTCATTTTAAAAGTTCAACAGTCAGAGGACCCACTCGGACTCTATTTCCATCACTCTGACCTTTCACCTCCAGGATGCACAACAGAACGCGAGAGAAAAACCAAACATTCACCACGTCGTCCTTATCATTCCCCCTCAGCGCCTCCTAAAGCCTCTCACCCCACTCACAGATTGCATTTTGTCATTTGTGTCTTTAACAATCAGATTACACAAAGCGCTGTCCCCAATCCAGCTGCCCTAAATGAATCATCTGGACTGTGTGTATTTGGTGAACCCGTTGGGCTCAGGAGGAGCAGCTTAAACTCTGCATGTGAAATATTCTTTCATGCCACTCATCCATCACAACCTTTGCCGTCAGACCAAATGTGCTTCGCTGTGCTTTTTTTGGGGGGGAACAACCCGATATTTCACTTAACAGCTGGCAGAGACCATCGGCAGGCCTCAAACGACGAGCTGGACATCAAATGAATGACTGTAGTCATTAATTTGTCTGTTGTCCAGTAATAGTCTCGCCAACTTTATAAGGAGATAGTATGTGAGTGTCGTGTTGAGGGCTTAGTGGGTCTAGACGAGCTAATAATACATATGTCTTACAGCAAAACCTGTATCTTGAAGAGAAAAATCACATCCTAATTGGTCACTGTTGTCAGATTTAATACAATTATGCAACTAGTTGTAGTGAAGTTGTTATTGCCTTTCCTCAAGTCCAGTAAACGATGTTGGTGACCTTCAAAAATTGGTTGGGCGGAGGATGTACAGTCTGTGGTTTGGGATGAAATGGATCAAGGATGAACATTGGCTTTATTCATTAGCACGCCAACCAAAACCTCAGGACTTCCAGGCCAATGCAAAATCATCCCGACCAACAGATAATCATTTGCTTAGTTAGATGTCGTGGTTGGAATTTGAATGCCTCTTGATGACCCACCAGAAGAGGATTCACAAAGTCATTCATCATTAAGTGTGCGGCTGTTTGTATCCACTCACACACACACACACACAGCAACAACTGAATCAATGCTCGTTGCTGTCAGGGCGACTTGGCTGCTGCGCTTGAGACCAGCTGCTGCTCTGCTGAAGGGTCAGTGTGATGGATTTCTGCTGACCGCCTTCGCTCTGTGGTTAAAGTTCACGCGCGGTTCAGGAGCTGCACCTGATACCGCGCGTCTGCCGGAGGAGGAAGTTGTCACCGGATACAGCTCCGAGGGTTACGCTCAAACTGCAACAAAAGTCAATAACGTTGATGGAGTGCTCCTTCCTACTGGTTAGTGTACTATATTAGACAATAAAAAGGGGAATGACACTGGTGTGCAGCTCCCACGGAGAGTATTTGGCGAAGGCGACATCGGGAGCGACGGGGGGAATAAATGTGTCGATGAGAGGGCATGTAAAGATAGTCCGGGCTCAGTTACCACATGCCTGGGAAAGGGTCACAAAAATAAATGTTCCACAGTAGGAACATCGTAAAACAATTAAAGGTCCAACAATGTTTCATTTAATGCTGCAGGACGTTTGCTGCCGGATTGCAGAGAATCACTGAAATGTGTGAACAAAATGCGTCTAACCGCTAACTAGTTAGCACGCCAAACGCTCCCTGACCTACTTGCAGTTTGAGCAGCTCAAAGATGGAGTGCGATGATCTTATTATAACAGGTTGAGCCCAATAATATGTGTTGAGTCCTTCATTAATCAGCATGTGAGTCCTCACAGGCTGTTACATTTCCAATCAGTTGCTTCTATTATTGTTTATTGTGTCCACGCAGATGCTAACTTGAATCCGAACGTTTAGATCCACATTCATAGAGACACAACATTATAAAATGAGGTCATCAGCTGGCTAGCTGAAACATTAGGCCAAACGCCTAATTCCCTCTCTTCTCTTCATTCCCAAAATGATTAATGCTGCGATAAATGTGATAAAGCGGCATTAAAACGTGCCTCCCTTTTTCCCCTCGAAGGAGCTCACGTGCACAGCTCCGCAACTACAGTATCGAGTCCTCCGCGCCGGCCTATAAATAGCGCGGGGCGGCCTGTTTCCCGGGGCTCATGGCGGGGCCCTGATTACTGTCTGCTCAAAGGGCAACGCGACCCAAACCCACCGCACCGCCATCTCGCGTCAATCTCCAATTATCTCTCTTTGATGGACGGAGCCAGAGCACATTAAGAGCTTCATGCTTTCTGTCGTCGAGACACACTGTTGACACTGATGCCCGATTCTGTGCCGCAGAGGCTCCGACGTGGTGATTCATGCTGCCACCGCCTGCAGAGAGTGGAGATCAAGAGGTGGATGTGAAGGGAGGGAAATGATTGATGCTTCTGGTGCATCTTTACTTGCCTGTAAACGTATTCTCTCAAACGACCTCTTACAAGAGATGGAGTTTTATTTGTAGAACACAATATTTGGTACGATTTTCATGATTTCACAAAGAGCTGTTTTAGGTATTTTCTATTTATTTTGTGCTCTACTCGGTTTGATGTGATGTATTTCTTTTCTTTTTTTGTGGTTTAAAAAATATATATATTCTCCATTAAATCTGATGAAATCAAACCCACGTGGTCTTGTAGCTCACTTTTGAGTGTTGAATTATGAATTAATATTATTTACTATCTGCAATATGTTGCTAGTGACCATAATTGTTAAGGCGACATATTAAGTTTTCTGCATAGAACACAAACTGTACATAATCTACAAAAAAAGCAGATTTGACCCTCGAACCCGAAGCTGTTATGTAACATTGCTTTTTTCTTTTTTCTTACTTTTTACATGTACATGTATTTTTGGACGCACGAAGGGAGGAAACGCTCTTACGTCATGAAACAGGACAACCTCTGAATGACCTCCTGGTGCTGATTTATCCAGGCCAAATAAATACTGGCGAGAGTAAAGAAAAACACAGCCTGATTATGGAGGAAAGTGCTGGCGGGGCTGAGCGCTCCGGTCAACAGTTGGGTGGTGCGCTGAAGGCCTCTGTCATCTGCCGTGTAGCAGAACCTCCACGTGTAACGAGCGCTGCAATTATGAAGAAACAGATCGCTATCGCAGCAGCAGTTGCCGAAGCCATTACAAGTCGGAGATCGGATCGGCAAAGAGCGCTGAGCAGATGAATGGCGGCGTTATGTAAGCAGGGGTGGGAGGCAAAGAGGGCGAGAAACTAAATACAGAAGCATCGCAGAGGGTGGAGGGGGAGGAAGGGGTGGAGGGGGTGGAGGGGGGAGCAGCAGATTCAGTCAGACCGAACAGAACCTGTGTTTGTCTGTGAAGGTGGGACAGCAGAATCAAGTCCGACAGGTTCAGATGATCGTGCGGTTTGTGTGGATGCAAACTGCTGGGCCTCGGGGTCGCGACCTCGGGGAGATGTTTGGGCCGCCGGCTCTGCCCGCTTTGCCACCGACCTCTTTTGAAGGGCAGGAGAGGGAGGTTTTTTTTTTTAAACACAGTTATTCTCTTAATCACTGTATTTCAAACTTTCAGCCTGAGTAATGGACTCAGATTATATTTAATAGCCACTTGGCCGAGTGACCTTTGCTGTGCAGACAAGACATATTGTTGTATTAGTCAGATGTATTAATACTTGTGCCTTTCTATGGGAATAATGTACAACTTATCATTATGAGATCTAGTGTGTTTTCCATAGATATAAATGTCTTCCCTAATAGTTTTCCTATTGTAGCATTATGTACCTTTTTTCTTTTTAACGACAATGATTGAATCAAGTGTGCTGTTACATATTTCTTTTATGTTTTGTTGAAACCAACCAGGTTTGTTGCTGTAAAGAAGCCTGCGCATGTCGTTCTCCTTCTGCTCTCACTTGTTTATTTGTGTCTACTGTCCTCTGTATTTAAAAGACAATACATCCTCTTACTCCCCATCTGCCAAAGTAAAGTTAATAGTCCCATTATAGCTGATGGATTGTTCTTTAGTTTACTCGGTGCATCCTCCTGCCTCTCCATTGTCTTTGGCCTCCGGGAAGCTCCTTAATGCGGGCGCCAGAAATAACTTTGGTAAACTGTTGTGGCTGATGTTTGATTGTCGCCCTTAATGGCGAAACATCAGCCCCTCAACAACAGCACACACAAGAAGCCAGATAGTCAAATATTCACCTGTGTTTTTTTGCTCCTGTTGGAAGCACAGAGCACCTGTTATATAACGAGAGGATTTACTTAGAGGTAATCACAAAAAGGCATGTTGTCATACAGTATATGAGAAATCTACCACTTCCTCTACTGAGCACCACTTCTTGCTGAAATTAACAGGAGGGGACAATAAGAACAAGTGCAAACAAACTTGACTTGAACTCTTTGGTTGATTTACAATCAGTCTGAATCTGATCATGTCTTTGATTTACATGAACACACATCTATATCTATATATAGATATATCAATAGATATATCTATATATACTGTATGCTCTCACACACTCACATACACACGCACTTCTTTGCTGACTCTCACAGAGAAAAGGGAAGGAAATGTTTACTTACGCACAATCAGCTGATGACTGGGACAGTGCTTCCTGCTCCAGTGACCTTCTGTCCCCCATGTTATCTCGCTGTGAGCTCTCATGTTCTCTGTAACAAATGAATGAACCCCTCATGCGGATTTGGTTAACTTCGGTGGGGAGTTTTATTCTGTTTGCAGCTAATTATTTGCCAGCAGAGCGAGAGTCGAGTCAAGGACACGATTTAACCAAGTAGCAACCTGTTAATCTGTCTGGAGACGTAACAGAGTGGCCCCAGGGGGCCGGTGTCGCACTGAAACAGGCTCGCTCAGATGATTCGTGGTGGGAGACGGTCGTTGGCTGCCACCTGCAGCAAAGAGATGGAAACTCCGGGGTTATTTATTTTGTCAGTGATTTTTGCTTTCTTTTTTTTTACAGCTGAGAATTGGACAATGAGTGTTTCGAGAAGCGTTAGGGATTATTTTATCTTTCGTTATTATTATTATTATTAATTGTATTAATATTCTCAATATTATTACAATGATGATCATATTATTATTTCTAGCATTATTATAAATACTATTACTACTTCAATAATACAGATTATTATTATAATCTAGATACGTATGGTTATATGATCGTAATAATTGTATTATGCATACTATTATTGCATTTTAATGTATCTTAATTTAAATGAACACTTCAGGGAAACAATTAAACTCTTCTCCCCACCCGTCTGGCACAGCCCGCCTTCATAATCGAGCACACCACAGAGGGTGGGCCTAGAGCTCGACGCCCAAACAATCACCGTTGGCCGAAGGGAAACGGGATGCAGCCGATTGGTTGAAATTCCAGTCGATCAAACGCGACAACGACGTCAGTTCCGCGTTGGCATATTTCAACCAAACGTTTTTAGGAAGTTTGTGGAATTCCGGCCCCGTTGAAACTGAGATTGGAGATTAGTTTCATAGTTTTTTTAGGTGCTACATCGGGTACCCACGTGACTGCTGTAACAAAGATGCAGGCAATAAGGTGAGAAGTCCTTTTATATTCATTAAAACACTGCACGGTAGTTCCTCCAAAGAGGTTAACCACTTAGTTGCATTAACGTTAACCATTTGTTTGCTATATAATTCTAGCTGCCACAATTCCTATTTAGCCTTCGTCGGTTGGGAGCAGATTGTCATATTTATTACTTGTCGTTAGCTGCTTTTGCTTTGTCATCGTTAACACATCACACCCAGTTTCTGCCTTGTTGAGTCACCAACTGTTGAGCAACTTTCTCAGAAACGTCTTCCGGGCCGCCTGGTCCTCTGCCGAGAGACTAGAGGACAAAACTGTCCTCATCACCGGGGCCAACACGGGCATCGGCAAAGAGACCGCCGTCGACCTGGCGAAGAGAGGTGGGTTCGATGCCCGCCTGCACCCGCGGGACCTGCTTTCTCAGCCTGCGGGCATCAGCTGCTGGGCTGAGCTGGTTTTATGACGTCACCGGTCTGGTTTTAGGTTCCACAGTACACATCGTAGACCTAGTTTCATCCGCGGCTCTAATTACAAATGACTAAACGTTATGAGGTAAAAAATGAATAAATACATTGGATTCTACTCGCATTTTTTAAATTAACCTTGTGACTTTTAGGCATTAATTATAATTATACTGATTATCTTTTCCCTCTTCCATGCAGCTGCTTCACAACACCACAAATTGTCTTTTCTTGTCATTATTTCTTGTCATTATTTCCCCATCCTCCTGTTGCCATGGTTTCAGCCCTCCCTGCATGATGCACTCATTTCGTCAGGAGGGGGCGCTCTCCCCCCATATTGAAGTGATCTGCAGCCCATGCACTCGCATCTCCTGATGCTCTCTGTTTGTTTGTCTCCAATCAGGGGCAAAGGTCATCATGGCGTGCAGGGACATGGAGCGAGGGCAGGCCGCCACCAAGGAAGTCATCGAAATCTCAGGCAGCCAAAATGTTGTTTGCATGAAACTCGACTTGGCGGACAGCAAGTCGATCAGAGAATTCGCTGAAGCCATCAACCAAGGTGGACCCGCTTAGTTGTTTTAGATGCATTAAGGGACTTTAAAGAGACTCCACTAAACGCCTTAATGTCTCTTTTGTATGAAGGAGAGCCGAAGCTCAACATCCTCATCAACAACGCCGGCGTGATGGTTTGTCCATACGGGAAAACCCAAGACGGCTTTGAGATGCAGATCGGCGTCAATCACTTTGGTAAATAAAACTGCGGAGACCTTCATGTGTGTCGTGAGGAGAGTTAAAGACTCGACGCCCGTTGTCTCACATGAAGCCATTTAACTTTCCTTCATCATAAAATAATTGAGTAAAGAAATATCAAGACTTCTCACACGCACCTCTATGTATCCCTCTAATTTACGCTATTATTTCGCACTGATGGATTTTATTAGATAACTAAATAAATGATCAGATTAAAAAAAATTCATCATTCCTCTCTGGAGTCGTTCCAAACATCCAGACAGGCGGAAGGTGACGTTTGTGAACCGCCGACCCAGCAGAAACTTTCCATTTATTTATGGACGTTTATATAAGATAAGATCAATATTCCCTTGATAGGACCGAGTTTATGACATCGTCTTTTTTATAACTTTCCACTGATATTGACATGGAGGTCGAAATCTATGTGAAAATAAAACCTTCTTTTTCAGAAGATCGACTTGAGGTTGCGTAGATTCTGGATACGAACCAGGTTTTTCTTCAGTCCATCAACCTCCGTAAGTGTTTTCTTTCCTTGTTTCTCCAGGTCACTTCCTGTTGACACATTTGCTGATTGACCTGATCAAACGATCGGCGCCGGCCCGCGTCGTCACCGTGTCCTCCATGGCTCACTCCTGGGGCTCCATCAATCTGGAGGACATCAACAGCGAGAAGAGTTACGACAAGAAGAGCGCCTACTCCCAGAGCAAGCTGGCCAACGTCCTCTTCACCCGCTCGCTGGCCAAGAAGCTGGAAGGTAAAACCCGGACTCCCCCCGTCGCCGTTTCTCTCCCGTCGCCCTCGGTAACGGTAACGGGGGCGGCGTTGGTTGTCTTTTCCCAGGCTCCGGCGTGACGACGTACTCCCTCCACCCCGGGGTCGTCCAGACGGATTTGTGGCGTCACCTGAGCGGCCCTCAGCAGTTCGCCATGAAGATCGTCAGCCCCTTCACCAAAACCTCCTCCCAGGGAGCGCAGACCAGCATCTACTGCGCCGTGGAGCCGTCGCTGGGGAAGGAGAGCGGCGGATACTACAGGTGAGCCCCGCGCCTTCACAAGGGCCGGCCCCCGGGCGATTGGGACTCTGACCCGACCCGTCTTTGCTTGCAGCGACTGCGCCCCGGCCAGCTGCTCGGCCGCCGGTAAAGACGACGTCCTGGCGCAGAAGTTGTGGGACCTGAGCTGCCGGATGCTGTCGCTGACGTGGGAATGATGGGCCGAGCGGATTCCAGAGTTTACGTGCACTACTTTGCAATATGATTCACCGATCGTATGCATCAAATGCACTGCATCGTCCAAAGATTCTCTATACGAGAATATAGGTATTTGTTTATGTGTTTATTTACACACGCACAAATTGCATACTATGGAAAATACTATGGGAATGATATAATTTATATGAAGATTATGATTCTATTTCACAAGATTAAATGCTTTTCTATACATTTTTGAACTCGCTTTGTAGTGAATATTCAGATTAAATCGTGTAATAAAAGATTTGTAATGTGTTGGACTTCATGTCGCTAATGTTTTTCTAGATTTTCTGCCATTAAACTATTAAACCATCCCTAGGTTTTTGTTGCTACTTGCAAAGAAACGCTTTTGGGTCAACACAAAAGATCACCAGCACTTTGAGAAGAACTGCACCAGAGAGTGAGAGTGAGCACCTTATTTTAATCCTGTACCTTAAAGCAAAGCACTTACTTGTTGTAAGTTTACAAATGAAACTTATTTTCCTCCACGTGCCAAATACACGTTGTTGTTCATATAAGTTATTGCATACATGCCCTCAATAACCTTCCTGAAATACTTTGGCCCTGATCCGACCTTTGGACCATTTTGACAAAGAGGGATGAAGATAATCCCACTTTATAACTCAAATACCATCTCATGGTATAGGTATGAATGCGGTGGATTGATGGAGGCAATAAAAACGGATAACAGCTGAGAGTAAACATGATGGGACTGTGAATTCAAAGAGGAATTCACAAAAAACTAACCTGGTCACTGAAAATCTGTAGATTGACTTAATAAAAGAAAACAATAGAAATTAAATGAATTAAAAACTAACCTGGTCACTGAAAATCTGTGATTTGACTTAATCAAAGAAAAAAATAGAAATTAAATTAATTAAAAACTAACCTGGTCACTGAAAATCTGTGATTTGACTTAATAAAAGAAAACAATAGAAATTTAATTAAAAACTAACCTGGTTACTGAAAATCTGTGATTTGACTTAATCAAAGAAAACAATAGAAATTAAATGAAACGTTGTATACTGTTGACAACATTCAGCTCTTGTTCCAACTTCGCATCAGACGCACGTTCAGTGCCTTTCAGAGGTATTTGTCAGTTTCCACGTTGATGTGTAATTACGAGCTGCATACGGTGCACAAAAGCAACCCTGCTAACATTAGTCATTGATGAATTACACACACCGCTGCATTCCATAGCAGAAGAACGGTTGAATGTTGTAAAACATCTGAAGATGACGGCTTGTCGTTAAATAAATAGTTTTATCAGATTGCATTTCAACATCGACGTATCTAATCACAACATAAAGCTAATGCATTGTTGAGACATCATGTTTCCATCATAAATTCAGGCGAATTATCACAATCAGATTATCAAAGTTGTGAGTTTGAATGGAAACAGAAGATGACCTTGAGTGATGTTCTACCTGCGGTAAACCTCAATGCAACCCGACCCGCAGTCACCCCGACGTCGGATAACGTATTGATTCTCTCATCTAATGCGGCTTAATCATTTGCAGGCCCATAAATGTGTGCAGTGGAGTCCTTCATCTCCATGGTCACCGAGACAATGAATCATTAATGTTTGATAAAGAAAAGAAGCTGGCTATAAGAATCAGGCGGCAGTAACAGCACAGCCGAGGGGAAGGCAAACTAAATGGATGTAAGGATGCACCGGTGCATCACACAGCGGGGATAATTACACCGCTTTAAAGAAAGCTGAAGACCTTTTATTCAAGGATGTGATGTTGCCTGGTAGGAAGAGAGACGTTTGACCGCATCAAAGATTTTTGATTTGCTTTCTCAGTGACGTTGGGTCAGAATGGAGGAAGCTGGCGACAGCATTGCTGTGGTCGGCATCGGGTGCAATTTTCCAGGGGGTAAGCGCGTCCAGTTTGGGATCTCGGTTCTGACTCGTTTCCTCATCTTCTGTATGTTGTTTCTAATATTTTATCAGCAAATTTACCATTTTAAAGATGTGTTCCTCCCCCACAATGTATGTAAAGACCCTCCTGGAAGACAAACTAGATAATTCCAATTACAACATTATTAGATTAAAATAAATTATATCAAAATGTTTCCACGCGTCAGAAACAATCTTTTCACAACCATCTGGGTTGTTAAAATGAATCCCCGACACCAAAGAAAAGGTGTACATTATTGTGTTTTTCATTTCATGTTACAAGTTCTACCTTTTTTCACCAAAACTACAAACACAATCAAAAACAGAATACTTTTACAGAAACTGAGGAAATGTCTGCTTCTTTTTTTTTTGTTCAAACAGGAGAAGGGCTTGATAATTTCTGGAAAGTTCTGCTGGAAGGAAGAAATTGTTCTGTGCCAATTCCCAAAGAGAGATTTGACTTGGCCGGCTGGTACGACCCCGACGACAACAAAGCGGGTAAATCCCGCACGGCCAAGGCTGCTCTCATCGACGGGTACGCTGCTCAGACTTTATCACGCATGTTTGGAAAGGCCTTCTTATGTGTCGATGCACTTTTTCTAATGCGGTATGAAGACAGGTCTGTTTCATCGTAGCTTTACTTAAACATTCATTTCAACGAGACATCTGAACAATTTTAGGACAAACTACAAAATGGAAATGTTTTCTCCTCTTCTCCTCTTCTCCTCCTCCTCCTCTCTTCAACTTTTTCTAATGTTTGGTGATGGTGGTGAACTCAGGTGAATTACCTTTATGACCAGCTGGTGATGTCACTGCATGTGGCAGGTGGGATGTACACATATACAGGCCTCTATCTGACACTTTATTGGGTTTACGCTGCAGTACGTTGGTTGTACCATAAGATCAGAGCTTAGTGTGCGTCCATTCTCTCCTCAGAAAAATGCGACAAAACTGAAGAAGTAAATATCACTAAGACAGAAGTATGAAACAACACTGTAACTTGTGGTAGAAGTAATTTTAAGATGATCAAACAAGATGAAGATCATGTTGTCAACCAACTTAAAACTGAGTCATCACCTTAAAGAAGTCAAGTCAACGTCACACCGTCTGTGTTTGTTCTCAGGTTCAATGAATTTGACCACAAGTTCTTTGGCATCAGTGACAGCGAAGTGGAACAAATGGACCCTCAACAGAAGCAGCTGCTTCAGTGCGTCTACAGGGCGCTGGAGGACGCTGGGATCCCGATGGAGAAGGCCAGTGGCACCAGGACAGGAGTGTTTTTCGGTACGTGTTGCCAGTTCTGTGCAGTATTTCCATCGGATTGAACAGCATCCACACTTTTCTTACCAGCGTTTATCTTGATTTTGTTGCAGGGCTGATGAACAGAGATTACGAGACGAACGCGGCGCACGTCCACCCCAGCGTGATCAACCACTGGACGGGCACGGGTCTCGCCATGAGCATCGCCGCTAACAGAGTCTCCTACGCCTTCGACTTCACCGGGCCGTCGCTGTCCATCGACTGCGCCTGCTCGTCGTCCCTCGTGGCGCTCCACCTCGCCTGCCAGTCCATCAAACAAGGTCCGCGCGGCGTGAAAAAGTGCATCCGGGCATTTGGATATAAATGCGAGACCATTAAATGTGTCTTATCTCATGATCAGATGATTGTGACATGGCGGTTTGTGGTGGAGTCAACTGCATCATAGAGCCCAGAGTGTTCGTAGCTCTGAGCAAAGCCAAGATGATCTCACCTGAGGGCACCAGCAGACCTTTCTCCAGCAGAGCAGATGGTTACGGGAGAGGAGAGGGCTGCGGGGTCGTTCTCCTCAAGCCTCTGAAAAAGGTCAGCATTTGTGACAACACTTTTACACAGCTGAACGCATTTTTGCATTTGTTTCATTTCAGTCTTGTTCTTGCTTCACAGGCCATACGAGATCATGACAATATCTGGGGTCTCATCAGCAAAACAGCGGTCAACCAAGACGGACACTCGGCCACTCCGATCACCAAACCCTCCACGACTCAACAGGAGGAACTCCTGCGTCGGATCTACTCCGAGTCGGACGTGGCAAACGTCCAGTACATAGAGGCGCATGGCACCGGCACGCCAGTCGGAGATCCGATAGAGGCGGGGAGCATTTCAAACGCCGTCGCTAAAGCCAGACCTCCCGGTTCGGAGACTCTGCGGATCGGCTCTGTGAAGGGCAACGTCGGACACACGGAATCGGCCGCCGGGGTGGCCGGACTCATCAAGGTCCTGCTGATGATGAAGCACGAGACCATCGTGCCCTCGGTTTTCTACTCCGGGGATTCCGCCAGTGTCGACGCCAACGCCCTGAACATTAAAGTCCCAGTGGAGGCTGAGAAGTGGGAAGCTTCCGGTGGGAGAATTGCAGGAGTCAACAACTTTGGCTTTGGGGGTACAAACGCACACGCCATTGTCAAACAGTACAAACGGCCACAGGTTGAGCAAAAGAATGGGAGGAAACGGGAGAACTATTTCCTCATGTCGGCAAATTCACCAAAATCTCTTACTCTGATGATGGAAGACACCGTCAAGCGGCTAGAAAAGGATGGCCGAGTTGATCTAGATTCTCTGCTGTACACCTCGGCTTGTAGGAGAAGCCACCTAAAGCATAAATACAGAAAGGCTTTTGTTGTTTCATCTGTGGTCGACCTCAAAGAGAAGTTAGCTGCCCATGCGCGGGACAATGTTCGCCCGTCCTACTCGGACCCGAGGTTAGTGTTCGTCTTCTGCGGGAACGGCGTCACCTACCGCGGCATGTGCAAACAGCTCCTAAAACACGAGCCCGTTTTCAGAGGTAAGGTCAAAGAGATCGCAAAGCTTTTCCGACGGCTGAGTACGCTGGACATCCTGGACACTCTCGAGAGTGAGCTGGAGGGCGGTGACTTTGACGGTCCACATGTCGTACAACCGCTCCTCTTTGCTGCCCAGGTGGGCGTCAGCAGCCTGCTCAGACACTGGGGGGTCGAGCCCGACGCCATGCTCGGACACTCTGTCGGCGAGGTGGCAGCCGCTCACTGTTCCGGCCTCCTGTCTCTGGACGACGCGGTAAAAGTCATCTATTTCCGCAGCAGCCTACAGGGAAAGGTCACCGGGGGGAAGATGCTCGTGATCAGCAACATGGCTGTATCAGAGGTAACCGCCCTTCTCCCTGCTTACTCTGGAAGAATTTGCCCCGCTGCGTTCAACAGCTCACAGTCCTGCACCCTCGCAGGGGACGCGGACGCCATTGAGAACATTTACAAGAAGCTGAGCACCTCGGCCAACGGTCAAAATCTGTTCCTCCGCGTACTGGACGTGCCGTGCGCTTACCACAGCCACATGATGGACCCCATTCTGCCAGAGATTGAGGGGACAATTGGCTCCCTGCAGGCCAATGATCTCGACACGGAGTTGTTTTCAACAGTGACGGGCAAGGAAGCCCAGCGGGGAGACTTCTGCACGGGGGGATACTGGGCCAGAAACCTCCGTGAGCCAGTAGCTTTTGAGCAAGCAGTGAGGTCGGCAACCAAAGAAAAGAAGAGCACAGTGTTTGTGGAGATAGGGCCGCGCAGGGCGCTGCAGAGAAACATCATGGAGACTCTGGGGAACGACACAGCCGTCCTCGCCTCGGTGCAGCCACAGAAAGATCACGAAACCATAAAGGCTGTTGTGCCGAAGCTGTTTGAACTGGGTGTGCATGTGAATTGGAATACCTTCTACAAAGGGCACGAGACAGTGACTCTGCCAGTTCCGAGGTACCAGTTTGATTGCTCCGACAGAGATGTCATCATTGGAGCGGCGCAAAAAAACACATCGAGCGATCATCCTGTGCTCTGTCAGACAGGAGGGGAAAGCAACGTCTTCAGCTGCGACCTGCTGTCTGACTCGTCTTTCTATCTGAGAGAGCACAGGCACAACGGCGTGCCCATCGTCCCCGGCGCCTTCTACGCCGAGTTGGGTTTAGCTGCATTCATGGCCAGCGCTAAACCAAAAGTACCGCTCAGCTCACTGCAGGTCAGTGTCGGCTTCCACAGTCCATTTGTTTTAAGCCAGAGTTCCCCTGAAATGAGGGTGCAACTGGAACGAACAGAGAGGGAAACCAGGTTCAAGGTCCTCTCGCCGTCTGCGCTGTACGCATCGGGAACAGTGGTTTCGAAGAAAGAGAGGCTGATTGAGGAGCAGTGCATTTCACTGAGCTCCATCTATAAAAGATGTACATCTGTAGTGAGCTGGAAGGACTTCTACGGGTACCTCTCTCAAGGAGGCTTTCAGTATGGAGATGTCTTCAAGAACAAGGGGGATGTGCACTATGGGGAAGATCTCAAGGAGGCTTTTGCAAAGGTCACAGTTCCAAACGAGCTGCAGCCTCAGCTCCATGACTACTGCGTTCACCCGGTTGTGCTGGATTTTCTCATGCAGCTTCTCCCAGTTACAGTAGAGCACATTTTTGCCGGCAGACCGGGATTTCCTGCCAAAATTGGAAGTTTGACAGTGTTTGAGCCCTTGCAGGAAGAAATGATTGTCTATCTGAGAGCAATGGACGTTGGTGTGGACCACTTTGAGGTTTGTGGCTGCTTCGCAGACAACCAAGGAAGAGTGCTGGTTGAGGCTAAGCATGTGATAGTCAAGTACCTTGGCAGTCGCTCGCATGTGGTTGAGGAGTATTTTTACCATAATACCTTTAGTGTTATCCCTGAAGGGCTGACATCAGCTCCTCCTCCTAAGGCCTTGGTCTTCTGTGACCGTATAGGGATCTCTAGTGCCCTGCAGCCATTTTTGGACTCGAGGTCCAGCTTTGTTTCCTTCACAAATGAAAAAGATATCTTGAGCCACGGGCTTCCTTCTCTTTTGGCGAATCTCAATATAACGGCTCTTGAGAAAAACTTTGACGAGGTCTTGTTTCTGTGGGGGAAAGAAGACCTCACGTCACTGCCGGCTGAGGATGTCCTGCAGATCTGTGCGAGCTGCTGTGAGACATTCCGCCAAATCGTCCTTGAGCTGAAGCGAATTTGCTTCCCGAACTCCGTCCGAGCAGTCACCTACTGCTCCTCTGACATCACAGTAGACCACATAAGTCCAGGCTTTGCGCTTGCTGGCATGACGAGATCGTTTGCTGCAGAGATACCGGATCTTTCGTTTCAGCTGATTGATATACGTACCATCTCTGCTAAGGACATTGCTGCTTTGGTCCAGGTCCTAAGATCACACCCTTGCAGCAAATACCCAGAGTTGGTTGTAAAGGACGGGCTGATTCTGAAACCTTCCATTGTCCGCACTCCGCTTGAGATTGCTGACGGCTCAGAAGGCCATTTTAGCCCCAGCATGCCGGAGCCCTGCATCCTTCAGACAGCAGAAGCACATGAAATGACTCAACTGAGTGCCATTCTCTCGGAGGAGGAGGCCCAGCCGATCGCGGAAACAACAGTGGAAATTCTGCCGAGTAAGATATGCGTCCACTCATCTGATTACTTCCCCGTCAGCGCTTCACATCTGAAATTCGGACAGACGCTGTACTGGAACAAGCACTCGTCGCAGAAACACAAGTTGCTGGCTCTCGATTTTGGTGGTACCATTACGGCAGTTGGGAAAGATGTCAGGAAGTTTAAAGTAGGGGACCGTGTTGCTTCCTGTTACCCTGTGGTCGCAACCAGCAAGTTAAGAGTCCCACAGGACGTGTGCTACAGCACCAAGCGGCTCCCATTCCTTCAAAAAACACCCTGTGTTTCCTTCTTTGTGTTGGCGTGGGAGATCCTGCACAGAGCGTTGCCCAGAGCCAAACACAATCTGGGAATCATGTCATCTGAGCCAGATTCGGTTCTGGTGAAAGTCTTGGCACTCACCTTTTCCAAGTCTGGCCGGAATGTGATTGTCGGCACACCGTGCGGCGGCTCGTTTGTGCATGCAGGACAAACGGACGTGTTTGTCGTTCTGCCTCCATTTGACGAGTCTATAATTTTGCAAATGTGTGACTTCCCGGGTGTCGCGGACGTGGTCTTCATCTGCGAGTCTCAGATACAGTGTTTGCTTGCTGCGGATGTGTTCCAGAGTGTGAAGGAAAGCGCTCATGTGCAGATAATTCAGACAACAGTCATTTTGAAAAAGGGATCCCTGATTGCACAGAGGCCACATATCTATCGCTGGCTGAAATCCTTGAACCTGAGCCGGAAATTTGCTCTTGAGAACTTCACCTTTCAGAACGTGAACCGTGAGAGCATCGAGATCCTTAGTTCAGAGACGCCACAGTCCTACTTCAACTCGAAGAAGCTGGCCGTTGTGGCCCTGGAAGGAGACGCCGACCGCACAATGTCGCGCATTCCGTTTTTACCAACAAAAAAACAGCTTTTCCGAAGGAGAGCAGTGTACATAGTGGCCGGGGGGCTTTCTGGTCTGGGCTTTGAGACCGTCAAGTTCATCTCCCAAAGAGGGGGGGGGTACGTCGTCGTGCTCTCCAGGAGCAAGCCAACACCAGCCGTGCATCTAGAGATGCACAACGTGGAGACGCAGTGTGGAAACTGCATCACCGCCATGGAGTGCGACGTATCCGTGTCCGAGAGCGTGCACGACGTCGTCGACGCCATTGGCCGGAAATTCCCCGGCTGTCCGATCCGAGGGGTCTTTCACAGCGCGGTTGTCCTGCACGATGGCCTGATCGAGACGCTGGACAGATCTCTATACCAGAAAGTTCTCAAACCCAAAGTCAACGGGGCACTGAATCTGCACCACGCGACGCTGCGTTGCCAGCTGGATTACTTTGTGTGTTACTCCTCCATCTCGGCCTTCCTGGGAAACGCGTCGCAGACAAATTACGCGGCGGCCAACACATTCCTCGACATGTTCTGCCAGTACCGGCGCAAACTCGGGCTGCCGGGGCAGTCCATCAACTGGGGGGCTCTGAACCTCGGCCTCCTCTTGAACAAGGAACATTTCCAGCGCTTCCTGGAGGCGAAGGGCATGATGGTGCTGGACGTGGCCGAGATTCACAAAAGCCTGGAGCAGTGCCTCGTGCTCAATCGACCCCAACAGGCCGTCTGCAGGTTTCACTTCAGAAACATCCGGTACAACATCCTGTCTCAAAACGCGGCCTTGACCATGCGTCTGTCCGCGTTGGTGGACGAGGCTTTCCAAAAGTCCAAGGAGCAAGACTCTCGGACTAAGGAGTCCGAATCGGTCTCGCCCAGAGATTACGTCGTCTCGCTGCTCTGCGAGACCATCGGCGTCGATAGAAGCGAGCTGAAAGATGAGTCGCCCCTTTCATCCTTAGGCATCGACTCCATGCAGGCCATGACGCTGCAGAATCGCATCTTTCAGGAGAGGGGCGTCAACGTGCCTTTGGTGAAACTGTTGGATCCCAACGCCACGCTATCCACAGTGGTGTTGACACTGAGCCAGAAGGATGACGGTGAAAGTGATGAGCGGGAGCCTCTTGCTGCTCAGGGAGTCGGTGCTGCTTCCACCAGGTTGTAAAATAAGGAAATCAGACAGTCAGTACACACAATACACAAAGTTATTGGATGCAATATTCATCATGTATTTAGTCTTTTTTGTTGTCTTGTATGCTACATTTTTGGTTGTGGTTGTTGGTTTTGTTCATTTTGGCATTGTAGTTTGAAATGTTTTTACATTGTAATACATTGTAAATACACCGTAACTTTTTTAATGGTTATTTTCCATCCATTTTACTGATTTTCTCTTGTGATATACTTATTACATGAACATAAAACTGTCAAAAATACAGCTTAATTATTGTTGATAGGTGACAATTTGGAAAATAATCATTTTTGTGGATTTATTTTATTAACTTCCATAATCTTTAAAGCTTGTTTTTAATCATAAATCATTTGTCCAACGTCAATCTGCCGGTTTTACTTTCACTCACTTCTGACAGGTCAAGGTCGGTTGTTATCACTGCTAAATCATTGACTATGATCATCGCCTTCATGATGGAACAAAACATTTTATAGTATTCTCGTATGTCTCAGAAATGTTGATAACCGAGTCTTTTGTTGGTTCAACCACTTGTTTATGACCTGTTGCAGACAAGGACGTTGTCAAGGACTAAATGCAAATTAACATTCTTTTATTATGTGTTCATAGCATAGTTTTAAAATCAAAATTACAATCAAGAAATAACTTCTCTAGATCTAGAAAGTGTGATTATCACGATTCCGAGGAAGAGATATTTGATTTTGCAACGAATATTAGAACAGAATTGACTAAAGTAAAATAAATATTGAATGTTATTGTTATTATTTGTTGCCTGTGAATCAATAAAACAAGCTATTAAGTTACCTATGCGCTTGAAAAGTTTATTTTAATAACTAACACGTTAATGCAGATGACTTAACTGTACTTGTATTTAATCAGCAAGGCACAGCTTCCAATTGAATCACGAAGGCTCATTTTGTTTATTCAGCCTTCCAAAAATCATCTTTAGTGATCACAAATAATACAAATAAATAACACCAGTCTTTTTTTAACCCAATAAATGGTTGGATTTATTTTACAGATGTTTCACAGAAAACCTTTCAGCAACATACATACATTACTAACCAGAAGATATCGTAATCTGGTTGTAATACAAGCAAATTATTTCCACCAAACTGACTCGATAAAACATCATTACAGTCTCCATGGCAATACAAAAATGACATCAAAGCATTTTTAATTTCTCACTTGTTCATCCAAAGTATTTTTTGATGCAGCTAATTGAAACGATCCATTATTCTTTACAAAAGCTTCCAAAGAGGAAACTGTGCAGTTGGGGTCCAGTATTTTAACCAAAGGCACATTGACACCCGTCTCTTGGAAAATCTTATTCTGCAGTGTCATGGCCAACATGGAGTCAATACCCAACGCACACAGCGCCAGGTCCCCATCCAGCTCGTCCACGCCAACGTTGCTGACGTCACTGACAATCGTTCTCACGCTGTGGAACGTGGAAGACAAATGAACTCTGGGCTGATGGCTTAGTTCCTCTTTTAGCTCTGCTTCCACCAGCGGCGACAGACGTTCTCTGAGGGACGCGTTCTGGGACAGGACGTGAACGTGGAGATTTTTGAAGTTGAACTTGCAAATGACTTGTTGCGGCCTGTTCATCAGAAGACACAGCTGGAGGGCCTCTCGGACGTCGCACACATCCATTGTCATCATTCCTTTCGCCTCCAGGAACTTTTGGAAATGGCCTTTGTTCAACAGGAGGCCGAGGTTCAGAGGGCCCCAGTTGATGGACTGACCGGCGAGTCCAAGGTGTCTCCTGTAATGACAGAACGTGTCGAGGAAAGAATTGGCGGCGGCGTAGTTGCACTGGGAGGCGTTGCCGATGAATGAGGAGATGGAGGAGTAGCACACGAAGAAATCCAGCTGGTTGGTAAGCGTTGCGCGGTGAAGGTTCAGAGCCCCACTGACTTTCGGCCGCAGCACCTTTCGGATGAGCGACTCATCGAGGTTTTCGATCAACGCATCGTGTAGCACCGCAGCACTGTGGAACACCCCTCTGATTGGACAAGATGGGAATCTTTGTTTGATGTTTGAGAGGGCGTCCGCCACCTGCATCGACACAGAGACGTCACATTTGACGTTCACGATGGTCACCCCGTACCTTCTCTGGAGGAGCTCCATTTCAAACCGCATCTCATCGGTCAGAGTACTCCTGGACAGCGTTGCAATACAACCTCCCCCGTTATGGGTAATGAACTTTACCGTCTCAAATCCCAAACCAGAGAGCCCTCCAGTTACAATATAAACACAACTTTGTTTGAATAGTTGGCCAGACCGTGCGAGCAAAGGGACGTCTGACGCTTGACAGACAGGTTCTCCGTGATTCAGAACAACTTGCTGCAGCGTCTTTTTTGTGAAGTAGGACTCGGCGTCCGCGTCGTCCTGAGGCTCTTCCACGCCCGCTGATGGAAAAGTCTCACTTTTCAAAGGTAGAGATCGTGTATCAAAGCCTAATGACAACAGCCAATTAGAGAAGGCCCTGCTCTGCGTTTGCAGACTGGCTCTCTGGAGAACATCGGCAACATTGAGTTCATGAACATGGATGTGTCCACTCTTCAGCGCAAGCATGTTTGCTGGGAAGGACGATGACGCGTGACCGCCATTGACAAAAACGACGTGTCTGACGAGACTTCCGTTCTCGTGCATCCCGTCCCAAGAGAGATCGCGCGGGGACAGAAAAACCAACGCGTGCGACTGATCCAGATGGAGCGCTCCTCCTCTGAAATGTGGCCGAGAGGAAACATTCCAGCCGGACCGGTTTGCCGTCAGGGCCAAAACTTTCACCAGAGCCGACGCCGAGTTGGAGGAGATGATGGTCAGCTTCCTGTGCTGCTGTTTCACCGTAAACAGGATCTTCTGCAGGATCTCCCATGCAAGTATGAAGTAAGACACACATGGGGCCTCTTTCAGAAACGGGAGTCTTTCGGTGTTGTAGCACACCGTTTCGGGAATCCTAATCTTTGCCGCGGCGGCGACTGGATAACAGGAAGCAACACAATCTCCCTCCCTTAGATTGTGAACATCCTTGCCGACAGCTGTAACGATGCCGCTAAAATCTAAAGCGAGAAGCCTGTGGTTTTGTGACGCGTGCTTGTTCCAGTACAACGTCTTTCCAAAGTTCCAGTGCGACGTGGTGACGGGAAAGTAATCAGAGGAGTGCACGCACACGTTGGTCAGCCGAATCTCAACTGAGTTCTCCTGGATAACATCTGCATCGGTGTCGCGGGGGATGGCCGACAAGTGAACCGCTCTGTATGGATCCGCTGTCTGCAGAACAAAGTCGCTCTCGCACACTGAGCGTGTGTCACCTTCACATGAAGCCCCGCCCCTCGCGGGCGTCCGTGCTGTTCTCGTCGTCGATGCTCGGCCTTTGCCGATCGCCACCTCTTGTTCCTTGCAGGTGTTTATCACGCGAGCCAGCGTTTCGACGTCCTCGCCGGTCGCGGAAGCGAGGTCAACCAGCTGAAAGGAGATCTCCGGCATCTCCGCTGAACAAGCCCTCGTCATGCCAGACAGCACGAGACCCGGGCTGAGGCGGTCCACCAGCGTTTCTGACGACCGGTAGGTAATGACGCGGACGGCGCAAGAGCGTTTGCTCTCTTTCACGGCTAAAACAATCTGGCGAAGCAGCTCGCAGCAACTCACCGAGCAGTCAAGCAGCTGCTCGGATGACAAGTGGCTGAGGTCCTCCACACCCCAGATGAAGAGAACGTTTTCTACATCAGCGTTGGTAAGAAGGCCAAACACTAAACCACGGACTTGGTCGGCCATCCAGTGCTCTCGGCTCTCCACAAGTGCCGACTCCGCGTGTAGGTACGGCTTAAGCCTTTCAGCTATGCCAAGTTTGTCGCCAAACACTATTGCTTTTATTTTGCGATTTTGCAAGTCTCCGATGTCAGGAATTGGAGTTATTTCATTGTGGAAGAAGCGTGACTGAAGAGCACTAGAGCAATTGCCCAAAAATGAGATCCTCACACCCGTGAGCTCCACCAGTACATGGCCCGCTGGGGTGGAAATGCTACCACACACATCAAGGAAGTCTGGGGTCTGTTGTGTGGCTCGTAAGTACATGACCATTTCTTCTTGCAGCGGTCCGGATACGGCTATTCCACCGATGGCGGAGGGGAATCCCTGCTTCGCTGTTAGCCGGCCAATGGCCACGACAGCAGTCATTTGCAAGAAGTAGTCCAGTAACACAGGGTGGATGGAATACTCATGGAGGTGTTGCACAAGTTCATCGGGTGCCTTGATCGCTGCCACAGCTTCCTTGAATTCGTCTCCAAAGCGCACTTCATCAAGCTGTTTGAAGACAGCTCCGTATTCAAATCCCGCCACAGAAAGAATTGAATAAATCTCCTCTCTCTTCATAACCAATTTGCACCTTTGGTAGATCATGTCGAGACAGACCGCTGGTTCTTCCAACAGCAGGTGGCCATCCGCACACGTGTATGTGCCGGAGGTATGTGTCGCGGCAGCAGAATGTATTTTAAATGAAGCTCCATTCTCTGCGTGATCCAGTGTCACTTTCAGCTGGTGAAAGTTTGAGCTGAGCGTGAACAGACTCTCAAACCTCAGACTGAGCCGGAGCTGAGAAACCGGTTTCCTGGGCCTTGAACTTGCCATCACAGAGGCATAAGCTAGCTCGACATAGAACGCGCCCGGCACGATGGCAACGCCGCTGTTTTTGTGCTCCCACAGATATGGGGCGGTGTCTGAGGAGATGTTGCACGTGTACTCCGTGTTATCCTGCTTCGTTTGGGATATCAGCGAATGGGGGCGAAACGCAGATGAGTTTCCACCTTCTCTCAAAGAGTCGAAGTTCAACTCTTTTTTTGTGTTAATGAACTGATAAACTGGAAGTTCCGTGGGCAACGTCTCGCAACCCCTGTAGAGCTGATGCCAGTCCACATTGATGCCCAGCTCAAACAATTTGCCCACAGTAGACAAGATGGTGTAGGAATCTTTCCCTGGCTGGACGGAGGAAAGAACGACGGCGTTTTCCCCCAAGGTTTCATGGATGCTTCTTTGCAGAGCCCTGCGAGGTCCAATCTCCACAAACACCACATTTGCCCTCGATTGCTTGTCCCTGGCGGCGGCGCGCAGTGTTTGCTCAAATAAGACAGGCTCTCGAATGTTCCTGGCCCAGTAGCTTCCGGTTCTGAAGTCACCATCCGAACACCTGCCTCCTGTCACTGTCGAGAAGAGTTTGCACTCTTGGTCGTTGGCACCCAAGGGCCCGATGCTTTCCTCGATGTCCTCGAGGATGGGATCCATCATGTGGCTGTGGTATGCTGCCGGCACATCCAACTCGTGGAGGAAGAGACCCTCTTCCGTAAGCGTCTTCAACCTCCGATGAAGGGTGTCCACAGCGGCTGCCTCCCCCGACAGGGTGCAGGACCGGGGGCTGTTGAAAGCAGCAACGCACATTTTCCCAGAAAACTCTGGAAGGATCTTTAACACGTTTTCAACAGCCCAATTACCGACAATGAGCATTTTCCCGCCGGTGACCTTGCTCTGAAGAGCGCTGCGGTGGTACACCACTTTCACGGCGTCCTCGAGGGACAAGAGTCCAGAACAGTGAGCGGCAGCAACCTCGCCAGCAGAGTGCCCGATCACGGTGTCGGGTTTGACACCCGAGTGCTTTAGGAGAGCGGCGATGCCAACCTGAATGGCGAAAAGAAGAGGCTGGACCACATCTGGCTGATCGAAAACAGCACGATCGAATTCACCAGCGATCCATTCGCTGATGCTGACGCTCTTATGGCTTTGAAAGAGACTCTCAACTTCTCTGACCTTGTCTCTGAAAACAGGATTCTCTCTCAGGAGCCACTTGCACATTCCCCTGTAAGCAACCCCATTTCCACAAAACACAAACACCACCTGGATGTCAGACATGATAGAATCGACATTTGTCTTCAGCGCAGACGTCAGCTGTTGTTCTAAATCTGGGAGGGAAGATGTTGGAAAAGCCTTGCGATATTTGTGTCTGGAATGACTCCTCCCACATGCCGAGGTGTACGACAGTGCCTGTAGATCAACTGACTGATTACGGCAAAGCCTCTGGAGGGTGTCGTTGACGGACAGGATCAGCGATTTCGCACAGGCCGCAGATATTACAAAGAGTTTTGGACCGCTTTTGGGGATCCGAGTGGGCGCGGTCGTCTTTCTGTACTCTCTTATGAGCGCATGTGCATTTGTGCCTCCAAACCCGAAGCTGTTGACCCCAGCCAGCCTTCCCAGTGACCCCACCGTTTCCCATCTTGCGGCTTTAACCGGAATACTTATCCTCAAAGCTTTTACGTCCACACTGGCATTGTCTTCCGAGTAGAAAACCGAGGGCACGATGGTCTCGTGCTTCATCATCAGCAGGACCTTGATGAGTCCGGCCACCCCGGCGGCCGATTCCGTGTGTCCGACGTTGCCCTTCACAGAGCCGATCCGCAGAGTCTCCGAACCGGGAGGTCTGGCTTTAGCGACGGCGTTTGAAATGCTCCCCGCCTCTATCGGATCTCCGACTGGCGTGCCGGTGCCATGCGCCTCTATGTACTGGACGTTTGCCACGTCCGACTCGGAGTAGATCCGACGCAGGAGTTCCTCCTGTTGAGTCGTGGAGGGTTTGGTGATCGGAGTGACCGAGTGTCCGTCTTGGTTGACCGCTGTTTTGCTGATGAGACCCCATATTTTGTTGCAGTCATTCATGGCCTTTGGAGAGAAAATCACACTATTATCAGCAGACAATCCAATTAGATGATTCCATGTAATGAACTCAACGCAATGCTTGCTTACGGTTTTCAGAGGCTTGAGGAGAACGACCCCGCAGCCCTCTCCTCTCCCGTAGCCATCTGCTCTGCTGCAGAAAGGTCTGCTGGTGCCGTCGGGTGAGATCATCTTGGCCTTGCTCAGAGCTACGAACACTCTGGGCTCTATGATGCAACTGACACCTCCACAAAGAGCCATCTCACAGTCTCCTAGTTTACAGAGAAAGGAAAATTAACTGCAAAAAATGTCATTGTTGATTGCCCTCAGGTATGGCCTTTGGCTGGGGAAAGGAAACTAAATACCTTGTTTTATGGCCTGGCAGGCTAAATGAAGAGCCACCAAAGAAGAAGAGCAGGCACTGTCGATAGCAAGAGAAGGGCCAGTGAGGTTGAAGGTAAAGGAGAGTCTATTGGCAGCCACACTCATGGCCGTCCCAGTGCCATTGTAGTGGGATATCGTTGTCGGATTGTCGCTTTGAAGTATCTCGTAATCCCTGTTCATTAGACCTGCAGCAGTACCGAAGCAGAGTACATCACGGTTTGCATATTGTGATGTTCTGTTAGTTTTTGAACTGTCAACAGGTCAAATTTACCCACTTTACCCACCTATGACGTCTGATTCCAACTTTGTTCATTAAAACGCTATTACAGTTTGTTATTTAGCATTCCTGTTGCTGAAAATTGCCAAGATAAAGTCAGATAAATGAAGAAAGCTCCTTTACACTAAGAACAAATATCCCCCCACGGAGAATGCAATCATTAGCATAAGTCCTAGGCGAGCCTTCACTGAGGATAAGAAAAAGCATTAACAATGCAAAGGTGGTTTATTGTGACTGTCCAAAAGTAGATGCAAAAAGGAAAGATAATAACAATAGATGGCAATAAATAATTCAACCCTGTTGCTTATGAATCAATACTTTCTGACAGCCGGTTAACGTGACCTCTTGTCAGTATACAGTGACCCCTGGCGGCTCTGGCGTGTTACAGATCAATGGTGGTCACCTATGTAAACTCCAGTTCTGCTTCCACTGATGGTTTCCATTGACATTCCAGCATCTTCTAATGTCCTGTATGTGCACTGCAGGAGGAGTTTCTGCTGAGGGTCCATGAATTCAGCCTCTGCTTCAGTAATGCCGAAAAACTTGTGATCAAATTCATTAAAGCTGAAATATAAAAAAAAAGAAGATCCATCGCAATTGTTTTTTTAATAGTGTGAATAGAAAGATTAAATATGTAATCCTACAAAAATGATGCTTACCCTTCGATGAGAGCTGCTTTGGTTGTTTGTGTCTTTCCGGGTTTGTTGCCATCGGCATCGTACCAAAACGTGGTGTCAAACCTCTCAGGTGGAATATCTACAACACAGTTCTTTCCCTCCAACAAAACCCTCCAGAAGTTGTCCAACCCTTCACCTAAAATAAAACAGACCACAACACCTATAGTTCCTCCTAAAACATCTAAAACATTAGTCAAAGACATTTGAAAATGCATGCTCTATACCTCCGGGGAAGTTGCATCCAATGCCGATAACGGCTACGTCATCGTCTGCGTCCTCCATCGTTGCTTTATTCTAAAAGCCCAAATGAAACGTCCTGCCTCTCCATAGTGAAGCTTAAAGTGCAGCTCTCGTTGCTCTATTGGCCAAATGTAGAGCTGCTGTGCCTCCCACCCTTTTTAAACATTGTGCCATGAGAAGGGACACGAGGACACAACAATGCTCTGCCTTGTTGCTTCTCAGTTTCATCTGGAACTAAATGCAGTAACACAAACTGGAGATTATTGAAAGGCACCGCGGAATACCTGTTTGTTCTTCTTTCCACAAAGTCTGCTTATCACTGGCAGAATACGAGCTCCTCTAACTGCTCGTTTACACAGGAACCTGTGGTCACATCATCCGTGAAAGGACAAAAGTACTTAAACATAGCGTCCGTATGAAGGACAAGACTGCATTGATAAGGTGTGTTTAAAGCCTATGCTTAAAAAAGAACAAAAAAATAATATTCAAACCCTCACAACATATTCAAACCATCTTTTGCTAAAATGAATTACTTCTATCAACCACCGTGACTCAATTTCCCCCCCAAAAATTGTAATAACACAATGTGTTTGTTATTGCTACACTGGTGAATGTAATTGACTCACAACAGACAACGCACCAAAATCTATTTCAGCATTAGATTCCCAGGAGCATCAAAAATAATATTATATTACATCGTCTCTCTTGTCATTATGCTTTAGCATGAGAAGGGTCTGAAATAGTCAGCTGGATTGAAAACTGACAATGTGCCGACTGAGTGAAAGGTGTCACTGAATGATGAACCGACTCAGCGCTTCCCCTCTGCTTGTGGTTTTAACACCATCAACTTCTCTAATTCAGTCTCGCAGCTGTCATCAATCTTTTCATTTCCAGCCGTAGCAACTTGTAATCATCTGTGCAGCTGCCATCAGTGAAGCGTTTAGCAGTAAAGCGCCAGATATTCCCTTTATGAATGCGACAGTCTCCGTTTGGATGTGTAAATAAGGGACAGTCTGCTAACACGTTAGCCACATACGCTACAGTTATATTATCTTATATTAAGTTGCTAATATTACTGAATATTCCACTTGTCATGTACAGAACACATCCCCGAGTAAAGGTAACCTTTATTTCAGCTCCAAAAAGGAACAAAGTGAAGCACAAAGTCGATCCTTTCACACACATACATAGCGCGTATGTTTATATACATTTCCCAAAATTGATCCGCTACATGTGAGCTTAAAATAGGGCATATCACTAATTTGAGAAAAAGAAAAACCTTTGGGCACTTAAATAAATAAGAACAAATTGATGCATCTCAGACGTCAGTCAGAGAGAAAGCTAATGTGAACAGCGGCATCAGCTGTGCTCTGCTGCAGCCACATGGAACACCAGGTGGAGGTACTTCAAGGTCCTACGGTGCTCACCGGTCCGTACGAACTTTAAATGAGATCTACATGAAATCATTCATCTCGATTAAACATGATCTTTGTCAAAAGCATTTGCCTGAGAACCTTGTTTTAGACCAAACATGACTGATGCATAAAACGACTACTACACAGTGAAGGACACCTCAAACGTCCTACTATAGTAGAATATTTATGTCCACGCCGTTACACTGAGTGCGTTTAAAATCTGAAACCAAAGATGCTCTCTACAGGAAACACAGGAAAGAAATGGAGAAAAAAAAGACAAAGGAAATACAAGGCCTCCCAGAGGGCCTGTGCATATTTGCACAGCTTCATATTTACATGATACAAGAGTCTAAAATCTCTACTGAATCAACTGCTGGTCCAGGGATTTGCCCTCGAGCACCATCTGGATCTCTTTGGCATCCAGAGTTTCGTGTGCCAGCAGGGCGTCCGCCAGCTTCTTGTGCTCTTTGCTGTAAGTCTTCAGGATGTGTCTAGCACGTTCGTACGAGTCCTGGACGGGAGACGGAGATTGGTGGATAAGAACCAGATTAAAAGGAGGAGATGGATACCTTCAAATTAAATTAAAAGCCCATCTGCGAACGCCGCGGGAACACTTACATTCAGCAGCACCCGGATTTCCTGTTCGATGATGGCTTGCGTCTCGGGGCTCTGCTTGGTCACGTCACCGTAGGTCATCACACCAAGCTGCAACAAAACCCAAATTACATCCTTTAGGTGGAAGGAACAACAGGCCTTCTCAAGCATGCGTCACTTAGCGTGATCATTCTGAGCCGGGTTTTCTTCCCAGGTCTTAGACTTAATTATACGTTATTCTAATGATAGACTGCAGAGTCCAACTGAACAGAACGCCAGTGTTCCAGTCTCCGATGGAGAGAAACATTTAGATGTACATTTGTAGATGTGCCTTTGTGCAAACATTTGAATAAACTGTAAACAAAAGCACCGTTTGTAAAAAAAACGTTATCTATGTCGCTGGAAGTTCACTCACTACCCGTATGAATTAAAAAGTTACCTTGTCACTCATGCCGAACCTGGTCACCATCATTTTTGCTATTTTGGTGGCTCCGTCAAAGTCACTGGAGGCTCCTAAAAAGCAGAATGCATCACAATGTTACAAAACGTAGCAGCTGGAGGACGTTATTTAATAGGACTGGAGGACTATTGTGTTCACGCACCAGTGGTGATGTACTCGTCTCCAAAGATGAGCTCCTCTGCCACTCTGCCGCCCATGTTGACATCCATCTGGGCCAGCAGCTGGGCTCGCGTCTCACTCCAGCGGTCGTTCTCGGGGAGCAGGGACACCTGGAGGACAGGGACGAGGACATAACGCGTGAGCTGGAGGTTTAGCGCCAACAGCAAAAACAAATGACAAACGTTGCTGGTAGAGAGCGAGAAAAACAAAACAACAGCTCACATGGCCAAGAGACGGGCCTCTGGGCATGATCGTGGCCTTGTTGATGGGCATTGCATCTTTGGTGTAGTAGGCAACAATGGCGTGGCCGGACTCGTGGTAGGCCGTGATGGTCTTATTCTTCTTGTCGATTTCAACGCTCTTCCTCTCCGGGCCTGGCAGTCCAAGGAACAGAGTAAGAGTGTGTTTAAAAAAACATTCCCGTCTCACGTGACGCAGAGCAGATCTAAACCCGCTGCGTATTCACCCATGATGATCTTGTCCTTAGCGAACTCCAGGTCCTTCATCGTGACCATCTCCTTCTCATCCATGGCGGCCTTCAGGGCGGCCTGGTTGACCAGGTTCTCCAGCTCGGCCCCGGTGAAGCCCACTGTGCCCCGGGCAATAATCGACGCGTCCACGGCTGTAAAAGAGTAACACAGCGGTTCAGTGTTCAGGGGACAACGCGGTCCTTTAGAGGGAAGGCAAACAGAAGGTTTTCTCAAAAGGGTTACAGCTCTGATCGCTTTGAAGCGGTTTTAGTTGACATGTCTGAGACCTACCCGGGTCCATCTTGATCTTGGAGAGGTACAACTTGAGAATCTCAGTGCGTCCTTTCACGTCGGGGCGAGGGACAGTGACCTGCATGTCGAACCTTCCGGGCCTCACAAGAGCGCTTGAAAGTAGCAGCAAAGTCCGGTAAGTTACAAGACTTTACCGCTTCAAGTATTTTATGTCACACTTCTGACGGTTTCTTCAGAAGCCAAAATTTAATTTAAATGTGAGTGCATGAAAAGATTCCAGTCAAACATAGTAACAGGGGAACTAGGACAATAACAGAAAGGATAAAAACAGCCCGCAGCATCTGTCAGAAGGTAAAGGTCACAGAGTGACACGAACTGTTCCTACATGTGTGGATTTACCTGATTTCAAATGGAGCACTCTACTGAAATCAAAACCTAGCTAAACATCTGTGGAATGTATAAATACCTATCCAGAGCCTCTGCAAAGTTCGTAGCGCCAATAACGATGACACCTTCATTTGGTTTGAACCTGTAAAACACCAGAACATTGAATGTTAGAAGGGATTAGTGTCTTTTTTTACACTCTGCAGTTTAAAAAAAGGCATAAAACTGACCCATCCATTTCAGCCAGCAGCTGGTTGATGGTTTGTCTCGAATAGGGATGCATGGGAGACTCTATTCTCTTCCCACCGACGCTGTCCAGCTCGTCGATGAAGATGACACAGGGAGCGTTGGCTTTGGCCTCTTCTGCAAACCGAGGAAGACAAAGGCAGAGACTGTAGTCGCTTCGCTACAGGCTGAATTGGCGCCTTTCATTTTCTCACATTGAGCAAACTTACTGAAGAGGTTCCTGATTCGACTCGCACCGACGCCCACAAACATCTCATCAAACTCCGATCCGGAGGCGTAGTAGAAAGGCACGTCGGCCTCTCCAGCCACGGCCCGGGCCAACAAAGTCTTTCCTGTTCCTGGTGGGCCGACCAGGAGGATCCCTGAGACCACAGCAGGGGCAGCAAATTAGAATAAAACAGCAGCATATTTAAACATATAGGACAGGACCACATTGCCACATGTGTGCTTTAACTTCCTGCACAATGAAAACAGAAGAAATGAGACATGTGGAGGAAACATAAAATACCTTTCGGCAGTTTTCCGCCCAGAACAGTAAATTTTTGGGGGTTCTTGAGAAAGTCGACAACTTCTTGCAATTCATTCTTTGCCTCCTCGACGCCTTTGACGTTCTCGAATGTCACATTCTTCACCTGGACGGGGTCGACTGCTGAGTCAAGACCAGATGTGGTGCGGAACCTCACTGTGAAATCCAAAATACAACCGGCTCAGTGAAATGGCGCCAGAGATGCGGCACACTGGTATTGAAAATATACATAGAGGATGAAGATATTCGAGGATTACTACACAGCAGAATCAGTGAAACTCGACATACACATCGAGCGGAGGCATCATGTCTTATTGGTTATTGTTAAATGCAAGTCATTACCTACACATTAAATTGGCAACAAGCATTGTAGAGAGTAAAAACTGAAACAAACCAGCATCAGAAAAGGAGCCTTTACCCGACAAAAACGGGGATCTTGATAATCCATAAATACCAATAAGTAGAAGGACCAATAGGATCAACCTGGTTCTCCTCAGAGAGTCTGTAAAGCAAGAGAACAGACAAATATTAGTTGTTTATGTCAATCGGAGGGCACGGACGCCCAAAGACCACCCTGAATCTTTTCACTATAGAAGCTTCCTTTTCTTCACAAACAACAACCGTAGTGCCCGTTAGCTACGTGCCTTGTGTTCTCTGAGTGAAGGCCTGAGACCTCATGAAGCCCTCGGTGAAACCCGTCTTGAAAGCTTCCTGCTGGTTAACGGGAACGTTCTTTTGTTTTGTCAGTTCGTCCAGTGATTGTGCTTCTGGGACCTTTTCCCTCTGAAGAAATCCCTGTGAGGCGAAACAGAGTTGGTCGGTTAGAACTCCCCTTCTCACTTCCTAATTCTACCCCCCGCCCCCAAATTATTATGGTAACACAGAGTTCCTTTTAATAGGTTCCGATAGTTTCGCCGACCTTCATGAAGGACGGCGTGTAGGCCTCCGACTCCACCGGACCGTCGTAACCAGACTCTGTTCGTCTGGTCCTTGATTGAAGAGTCTTGAAGCCCCGATTCTGGACCCATACTTAAAACAGAGACACATTGGGACAGCCGAAAAACCTTAACATGTCCAGCATGTATCACACACAGCAGATCAAGCAATCAAAGTCAGTGTCTCACCAGGCAATGATTGTAGCTCTGAGCAGGCTTCTCTTAGAGGACTGTGGTATTGTCTGTGGAAAATATGGGAGCCAAAAACTCCCATCCTTCTCTGTGAAAACCCTGTCAGACGAACAAGAGCTTTGTTTCAATTACATGATTTAACAAAATTACAACCGTGTCAAAATAGTTTTCGATCGTAACAAATCGTGTCAGATACGGCATCTTGTCGTAGAGTAGGACTGTCTGAGAAAATACAAAGTCGGGAGACCTGAGATGCTCACCATGTTTGTTGTGAAAGAAGCTGTCGGCAGAAACGTGACTCGACCTCCATATGGAGGAACCGGCAGGAGGTTCCTCTGGTCCGGACACAGGCAATAACCTGCGGACCAGCTCATCCAGCTGACTCACCCGGATCTCGGAGAGCCCCAGATCCCTCAGGCTCACACTGGGCTGCAACGAGAGGACAGCAAGAGTAGCAGTTATTGACACCTTTATAGGACAATAATTACAGGTGGCTTTTCAGAGCCTTTAAAAACTTTCTCGGACATCCTCGGAAATATTGTTATCGACTTATGGAGAGAGAGATTTTCACAGGCTAGCCCGGCGTCACTACACTGAAATGGGCAAAGTAAATAGTTTGAACGTGAAATATACAATGTGGCAGAGGATGGTTAGGAATGACTACTAAAAAGAATAATAACAATTCTATTAACTACTGTGTGTCTAACAATGGCAAAAATCAACATGAATCCTTTCCCCTTTTTACATGATTATTGTATGAATGAGGATGATAATAATAATAATAATAACTATTCACACAAGAGAGATTCATCTTGCTTGGTGTGATTAATCATCATAAATTGTACAGACATATTCAAGGTCTTTAGTTACAAAACTATTGGTTTGCCCCTGTTGCCTAATGTCAAAGGTGGACAGTGAGATTTTTGTTGTTCAGCACAACAGGGTGAAAACATTGACATACTTTTTCCACACTGGGATTATTTAATGTATCCGTGGAGTCCGTCTCACCTCTTTAAGATACGAACTGTGCTCTGGAAAGAAGTCTTTGTGCAGCGTCTGGACTGAAGCTGTGGCTGAGTTCTTCAGGGAGTGGAGGGCATTGATGAGTTGGCTGAGGGGCACTATCATCTGAAAGATAAACAGTGGATGAGGAACACACACACGCACACGGTTGGATCAACACTGTATGTACTGAACACACGCATTAGTTAATGTTTAAAAGGGTATTTCATGTGATTCGTCCAGCCAGGACATTGGGGGGGGGAGGGTTGTTTTTAATGTTATTTTAACTCGTTCCCACTGCGAGAGCAGCATGGCGCACGTACGTCAGATGTGACAGTTGTGTAACGTGAACTCTTTGAAAATTAAGTAACAAACCTAAAAATCGAAATTTAGCCTCTTCCCAGACATATCAGATATAGTAACACACACAATCGACACGCGTTGATCGTCGGGGCTCGCTGCTGTGAAGTAGCTCACGATGACAACGTGACGTAAGCGTGCGTTGCTTATGTAGAGATCTGCCGTTGGCTTGTCAATGCTAACGTTAGCCAAGCTAGGTTGTCATTGACCACAACAGAAGACACGTTATCTACAACGAACGGCCGAGCTCCTTATTGTGATAACGTATCCCACGAGTGCACTTTCCGTAAAACGCCAACGTTAACTAAAAGACGTTATGTTGACACAAGAATACGCACATTAACGTTAGCTAGCTTAATAAAAAAAAACGGGCTATCCAGCCCGCTTACCTGCTGTGGCTGAAACGATGTTGACAGCGAAAACATTTTTGCCGAATGATAATTCTGAATTAGGAGCTGTGGCGGGGTTGATGTGTGAGGAGAGACCCTCTTAACAATGCTAAACAACCAGTCCTTCTGGGAGGGATGTCCTTTTGTTTTCCTTCTTACACAACTTTCAGCAGCTTAGCTAACAAACTGCAAATGGATTCCCCGGCATCGGAGGTCAAATGGACTACAATATGACGTCATGTTCGATTACTACCGGGTGCATCTTGCAACAACACATCATTCTTTGAGGACCCAAACGGCAGGTTTATTAGGATTAACGTTGAATCAATAAAACACATTTTACAACAAATGTACGACACAAATATTAATATTATTTTTTAAATTTCCTCTCTCTCTTTCCCAGGGATAATACGCTTGGATAACTGTTGACACAATTTCTATATTCAACGTTAAGTTAACTTAGTTCTTTCTCGTGTGTGTTTCTCTTGCCTGATTACAATTGAAATATAAAAAGCTCAAGTGAATACAATAAGGTTTTTGATAAATCTTAATACTCAATACCAAACAAAACATAAAACCTGACAAAAACAGTGATAAAAAAAACAAATAAAAAAATACATAAAGAATGCACAGAATATTTTATTTTATATATAGTTACTTGATTTAAAAAATGTTATTATGTATAATACTTATATAATCTCATCCCACATCGAGAAACATTTTTGATTTTCACACAGGCGGATAGTTGTACAACTAAATGGAACTGACGTCAGCGGACCCCAAAAGGCAGCGAATTCAAAAATTCAAAACAAACCCTAGATTGTTGTTTTAACATGCAAGTGTTTACGCTGAGCTAGCTGGCTGTTGCGGACGCGACCCAACTAATCGATTAGATTTACGGCCCTCAATAACAATGGACGCGGATGAGAAGCAGGACTCCGGTGGAAATAAGTCGTTGGAAATCGCGAGGGCTCCTTCCATCGAGGATTTCATCGTTTTGAAGCCCATCAGCCGCGGTGCCTTTGGCAAAGTCTACCTCGCACGGAAGAAGTGCAATGAGCAATTATACGCCATCAAGGTCAGTCTGTTTGGACCTCGACAACGTTGACTTATTCCATTCGGCTCATTATAGTTAAAAACTTCCTCTTTGTTTGTTTGGTCTTCTTTAGGTGATGAAGAAAGCCGACATGGTTGACAAAAACATGACCGGTCAGATGAAGGCAGAGAGAGACGCCCTCGCTTTGAGCAAAAGCCCCTTTGTGGTTCACCTGTTTTACTCCCTGCAGACTGCAACCAAGATCTATCTGGTAATACCCACATATCAAATAATGACATCTGCGCAAAACACAAATACTTAAGTGAATTTAATGTTTTACATTCATTTCACTTTGCAGTTAATGGAATACCTCATTGGTGGAGATGTCAAATCTCTGCTTCACATCTATGGCTATTTCGACCAGGACATGTCTGTAAAATATATTTCCGAGGTTGCACTGGCTTTGGACTACCTCCACCGCCACGGTATAATCCACAGGTATAAATCAATGTCTGTCCATGTGTGTAATACTGATAAATCAAGTCTTTTAAATTTATCTGAATGACATGTTTTTCTTTTAGGGACTTGAAGCCAGATAACATGCTTATATCCAACAAAGGTCACATCAAACTGACAGACTTTGGCCTCTCTAAAGTCAAGCTTGACCATGGTATGAGCCCCGTTTGACACCTGAACAAATTGTGACCTTCCCTGCTTGTAATGTTATTAATATTTCCTTTTACTTCGTCCGTGTTTCTACCAGAGCTCAGTCTTGTGGATATCCTCACTACTCCATCTTTGGCGAAACCCAGACAAGATTACTCCCGCACACCGGGTCAAGTCCTCTCCCTAATCAGCACCATTGGATTTGTGAGTTCATTTATATAACATTGCCACGAGAATCGCGTACTTTATATGTAGTTTCCGTTGAATAATGACTCCCTTTTCGTTTTAATCAACACAGAATTCACCTACAGGAGAAAGCAAGCGTCACAGCAGCGCATCCGCTGTGTCCAGTCCCATGTCCTGTGGCAAAATAAAACCGAGGAGTAGCTCTTTCGCTTCTCCTATGATGAAGAAAAAAGATAGTCCGTACTCTCCGCTTCCTTGGAAAACCGGTACGTCGCGGTAGTTATCCAAGAAAGACGCCTCATGCCTTTTCTCCTCCCATTGATTAGCGTTGTAGCGTTAAAGAGTTTTTATTGATAAAAGGCCTGTGCGTAGTATCGACCCCCTGGTCCTCCTTGCAATGAAGTTTCTCTCGATTGTCTCTAAAGGACCCAAAAACATGATGTTCAGCCCTCACTGCCTGGCTAAGAATCTGACCCCCTCACTGCTGAAGACCAGGAAGAGGTTTGAGACGATGAGTGCAGGGAGCACCGACACCGAATGCGGCATCAGTCCACTGTGGGAGTGCGAGGAGGTCAGTGACCCCAATCCTGTAGCTGTATGATATTGTACACTCCATTAAACCATGTAATGCTTTGATTAGCGTTGTCCTGACCAACTTATTCACCTCCAAATCTTAATTCAAGTCATTCCATTTTATTACGTAGTTTGAAATAGTTCCTCATTGCCGACATTTTGAATTGGATACTGACGATATGACTTTATTAGTTATGGTGATTGTTCTTTTTTGTTTTTCTTCTTCAGAAAGAAAACGAACATGCTAATGAACAAAAGGGGAGACGACATTCTGAGTCCAGGTGGCCTGAGCAGGAGTCCGCAAAGATGGCCGCCTTTGGCTTCTCTGACAGGGCCGCCGGCGCTCTGTCAGAAGACCACCGCGCGGGAAAGAGGCCTCCCGCAAACCAGCTGGAGCCGCTTTCCACATCTCCGGACGTGGTTGGTCTCTCGGCCTCGTCGTTGAAGAGAAAATTCTGTGAGGTCGAGAGAAGCCCCGAGCCGCGGGACAGCCAAGCCAAGAAGAGCAACGAGGCCTACAAGAGGTGCTGCGCGGTCCCAGAGGAGACGGCGAGGTCCCACACCGGCCTGACTGGAACGTTCTGCACCATCCGGATAGACGACTTCCTGGCCTCCTCGAAGGGGATCGGGATCCCGAAGCGCTCCAGCCCCATCGCCTGCACCAAGAGCCTTTTCGGCGAGCTGGAGGAGCCGCCGCAGGACGTGTTCGACGACGGCGCCAAAGACCTGTCCGGCTTAGGCTCCACGTCGCCACTCGACGGGAACCGCGACATTTGCAGGAGCTTGAGCCTCGACTCTGACGGCTCGGTGCACGAAACGTCTCTCACCATCGACAGCCGCGCCCCTTTCGGGTCGCGCAAGCGTTCCAAAGGGAACAACTCCGCCGCGGCGGAGCCCGAGGGGAATAACAACTCGTTCATCACCGGGTCGCTCCCACAAACTCCGTCCCAAACACCCAAACCGGGTAACTTTGGCCGGCGGGGATCTCAGTGCTCCGCTCTGAACCTGCACGATGACTTCGCCGGGGTCGGACAGTCGCCCTCGTTCCTCAAGCCGCGTAACATCGTGGCCTTCCGAAGCTACTGCAGCTCCATCAACCGCTCCAACGCGTCCGGCGTGTCCCGGTTCAGCGTCGGCTCCATCGAGGCCATGGACTTCTCCAACGCGGCCTCCCACCACTCCGCCTCCGGCATCGTGACGCCGGTGCAGAGAAGGCTGCGATCCAACGGCTCAAGCTATCAGGTGATTGTGCAAGGACACAAGATGAGAAAGGCAGCACGGTTAAGAACCCAATCACGTCCTAATTTTATTAGACTTTTCTTACAAATACCATGGAACTCAATGTGCACAGTGCAACTATTCATACAATTTACGCTGAGGAAACACCAGAGGATTAAAAAGGTGGATTTTGAGTTCCCTTCAAAGAAATTACAGTATAATCGGTACAAATCTTACAGGTTATTTATTGGAGGGTTTTTAATGCAATCATATGTCGTGTCATTTTTCATTTCCTTTTTCTTTCCCCCTCGCATCAGACTCCTCAGCCCATGTCGACCTCTCACACCCCCTTCAGGACCCCAAAGAGCGTCAGGAGGGGCGCGCTGCCCGTCGAAGGCGCACAAATCTTAGGAACTCCGGACTATTTGGCTCCGGAGCTTCTCTTGGGAAAACCGCACGGTAAGAGTGGTGAAATTCCAAGCACCTCCGAAAACACCAAAAAAAAGCCCAAACAGGTGGTTCGGATGGTGGGCTTTGTAGTTTGTGACTGGCGTCCTCTCTTTTTTTTTGAGTTTCAGGAAGTTGCCCGCGCGGTAAGTTTGTAATGACGTTGCTGTTTGTGCAAGCGAGCTCGCATGTTCACCCAGCCTTCTAATACGGCAGAACGAGAGCTGATGCTTCCCCGGGTTTTCTTTCCCCGCTGGTTCTGGTTCTGTCTACAAACTGTGGGTCCAATCAGCGGGGGGGGGGTCAGGTCAGCATCTTAAAGGCATTTCTAACATTAGAGCTAATCACATGGTTAACAGCTGGAAAATCAGCCTGACGTGCTTTTAACTGGAACTTTTTAGGTCTGCAGATTTGGGGTTAATTTAGCTTTTAGCATTGAGCATTTTCCGTGCACAATGTGGTCTATTGATAACCGATCGATTTGCACGTACTGGGATTCATTCAACACGCTGGCGGCCGTAGTTCAGTGGCACGCTGCCGCTCTGTAGCTTGATTGCTGCTGTTTGGAGTCATGAACAGTCACTCTGTTGGCACGAAGGACCCCGTGTGGCCCGATTCACAGGGAGGGGGGGGGGGGGGGTCGGAGGGGTCCGGAGCCGGCGGCTGTATGAAACGAGTCTCTCCTTTGCTTCCATCCAGACTGCATGGTGGATTGGTGGGCGCTTGGTGTGTGTCTTTTTGAGTTCCTCACAGGCGTGCCGCCGTTCAACGACGAGACCCCTCAGCTGGTCTTTCACAATATTCTCAACAAAGGTTTGTTCAGTTTTCTTTCACAGAAATGTCCCAAACTAAACCGCAAAATCTGTATTTGATGCTCGCCGTGTTAGTAAAGCATTTTTTTGTCTGTTTTTACTGTTAGATATTCCCTGGCCCGAGGAAGAGGAGGAACTGTGTGTGAACTCAAGAAATGCGATTGAAATTCTTCTGACCGTAGACACGAGAAAACGAGCTGGTCTGAAGGGTGAGGGACGCTTTTATTCATTCTTTTTTTATTTTCCTCAATTTTAAAGCAGCACCGTGAGGGAAATACTGGCATCTAGTGGTGAAAGTTTAAATTTAAATCAACGGAATACACAATTTAAATCAACGGAATACACAATTTAAATCAACGGAATACACAATTCCTGTCGCCCCTCCCTAGAATTACACTCGCCCCAATGTTTAAAAAACTAGTAATGTTTTTAACAGAGCAAATGTAATTTGTTTGGGAGAAATGAGAATTTTACTGAACCTTCTGTGGTTGTAAATATAAATATTGGGTCTTTTCTATTTCTAGTCACCCTCTAATTTAATAAAACACTAATATTGGCCTTCGTTTGAACACCTGTCCCCTCTCAATCGTCTCTCCACTAGAACTCAAGTGCCACCCCCTGTTCGAGGGCTTGGACTGGGACGACCTGCAGAACCAGCCGATGCCTTTCATTCCTCAGCCAGAGGACGAAACCGACACTTCGTACTTTGACGCGAGAAACAGCGCTCAGCACATCGACGTGTCCGGCTTCAGTCTGTAGAGTCGCTCCCTTTAACAGTTTTATTCAACTTTTGTCCGCTGGACACACGTAACAATTCAGAAATCCCCCATAATGGATTCTGATTTGTTTCTCTTTTTAGGGTTGTAACATTCTTGTTTTTTTAAAACATTTTACCTGCGCAAACGAAACTAAATGTCTGCTCATTTAGTTACGAGCTGCAGAAAGTAAGCTTGTTTTAAATCTCTGTATCACAGTTGTTCTAAAAGTAGGTTCTTATTCTAGCAGGATAGTATTTGCTACTGCGTTACCTTCCTAATAGGCTTTGATTTCCTTTTCCTGTATTGATTAAATGTAAGATAACTGTATATGTTGATGAAGGGTTGTGTTGATGACTAGGTGGGCGGGTCCCCTGAATTTCTCTTTAAGGGTGCTGAAGAAAAACATGGTAATATATTCATGATAATCTATTTTATATGTAAATCTTGTCCTTGGTTTTAGAGTACTTTGTGTTTTTTTGCTGCTTTTATGTCACGTGTTTGTCATTTTGATGTGTCCGTTTTCCACACAAGTTTTTTAGACGAACAATCTTGTTCGCTCTAAGAAAAAGGTGAAATACAAATAAAATATTGTTTGTAACATGATCTCCATTGTACCAGATGTAAAGGTCTAAAGTGTTCATTAAAAGCCCTTAAAGTATATTAACTGTGGCTTTAAGAATTTGTTCCTTTGCTCAGCGTTTTGCCGTACAAACGTTCAGTTGTATTTTCACGGCTCTCAAAGAAAGCACATTAACAAATCTCCTTTAATATTAAATCAATTAATTAGAAATAATCTGGAAAAATGTAAATAAGAATCTTTATTTGCGGCTTGGATTATCACATGCAGACACCGCTCTGTCCACAGGCAGAGGAGGTGAGAAGCTTTAGCACATTTCAGTACAAAGGTAAATATTACTTCTTTATTAAAACATAATGGCTCTGTAAATATTAGTGCTATTGCAGAAGCAAATTTTTCAATTATATAGTATTCTATATCATTAATACATGGGAATGCAATTAAAATACTGCATTTTAATCTAAACTGTACAGCTATTACAATTTATATAGATCTCACTGCTTTGCAAACCATTAATGATCATCACTCGTACTAAATCTTCCCACAGACATTTTACATCACACATTAAAAGGATACAGCTGAGAAAATCTGAACAGCGTGAACAGTGACAGGTGATATTTGTTATTGATCAGACAGCTGATATTCTCACCACTTCATGGCTCATTAGGAAAAAATAATTCTTGTTAATTTGGTCCAGAACTGGAACAGTTGTGCTACAATATGTCGACATAAGAAACCACAATGCAACCTACAGTATGGGGGTACCTTATGATGTTGAGGCACTTCTATTTGGTAAAGATGTTAAATGGAGAGCACTTCTCTGATATGCAGATGGACGGTCTAACTTTAACCTCTTCTATACGCCTGGAATCTGGCCACAACTCGCTCAAAGCAATAAATATTAACTTATCAGAATTTAGAAGAATCACACATAGTATAATTACATTCAATCCTCCCTTCTAAACTCTTTTTCTCTTATTATAGCAGCATTTTTCTGGGCAACTAATTAAAAGATAATCGTGAAAATGTACAACCTCAGCAAGCATTGCGCTCAAAACCGCAAAGTGTCGGGCCTATTTTATGTGCAACACAGCCACCTTAGTGATAGAAGTTATTATGAAGCTGCTCCAGGTTTATAAAAAAAAAAAAAATGCTGCGAGTTCCCCCCCTCAACACAAACCAGTCGTTGCAGAGACAAAGATCCCAGTTCAGAGGCATCGAGCGCCACACATTCTGATTCCACCTCCACAGTACGTCTTCCTCTCACTCTATTTGCAGTCCCGGTGCATTCTTCATAGTGCATAAGCAAATTACGTGGTTGTGAGTCTAAGCAGGAGGAGAGGGGGGAGAAGGGGTGAGGGGCACATCATTCAACAACAGAGGAGTCCTCGTGGCCGTCTACGCCCATCAGTGTTTGTGCTGGAGCAGGTTCAGTTGATCCGCCTATTAACAGAAGCAGGAAGTTAAAAGCAGGTAGAGCAGTTTTGATATTCATGCCTGTGTTGTTCTGTAGAAGAATACCGTCTCCTCCTCTGCAGGTAGAGGCGGATGAGCCACTGAGCCACAAAGGGCCAGATAACCGCAAAGGCCAAACTGGTGGGGGAAATGTCGAAAGGCCACCAGGACGGTTTCTGGAGAACAGGATCAACATGATTTCATGTCAAACTGCTCCGGGTCATCGGGAAAAGTGAACCTTTTTAATCACTTGTAAAAGTGTAGCAATGCATCTTATAAGGTTTACCCGACTCCTCCTATTCGCCGCGGTTGATGCATACGCTGGAGGCAGAGGCATCGATCGGGTCTGCAGGGAGTGTTGATGAAAACAAAGTAAGTATGTTTGTTCTCTTTTTGTCACAAGTGTTTAGAAAGTCAAAGTACAAACCCTTATCTTCTGTCCACGAAACCCTCATATTTGTGTGCTCTTCCATGTTACTCATTTAATACGGATTCAAAATGAAAATAGTGTGGTTGAGGAACATACTGATCATTTCTACAAATTGTATGAAATATGGCGATATCAGAATTCACTGACGATGCATTCGGGTGTATGATTATTTTTAGAACATTGCCCTCTTTAATGGCCATTTAAAAACACAGAAACTACTTCTTGTTCAGTCTTTGAGATGATCTTAAATATCTGAAAAGCCCCAGCGCTGATTAAATTACTGTCATATTGGACAAACATCTGTGAGGGCGGAGAGGCGTCACCTGGCCGGCGGTCAGCGCCTCCAGCGTCTGCAGCCTCTGCAGAACGCTCTGCATGTCCTCCTGCAGTCGAGTCAACGCCACCACTATCAGCTCATTCAGGCTCCCCGCCGGCGTTGCAGCTCCCCCCCAGCGCTCCCCGTCCCCGTCTCCCGCCCCGAACCCGGGCACCAGAGATTCGTAGTCGCCGCCACGGCGAGACCCTAAAAACACGGAAATGACATAAAATCAGCATGTTCAATCTGCAGACCACAAAAAGAAAAAAAAAAAGAAAGGACGCGCGTACCACGTCCCCTTCGGACCAAAGAGCCGTCCGGCCTGTCTTCACTCGGCCGCTGTGACATCGCTCCGCCGCTCTCTCCATCTTCTCCTCCACACCTGATGCCCCGCGGTGCACCGTGAACATCAGTCTGTGGCTCCTCCAGACCCGCCGCGACGTGACTCTCCTCTTCATCCAGGTCGTCGAAAGAGCGGTTGTGCTCTGAGCTCTGAGGGGGGGGGGGGGAGTGCACTTCTTGGTAAGAGCCGAGTCCGCTGCACTAAACAAGGAGCTTTGAGTTGTTAACTCGCCTCTTCCTGGCCAAACTGGTCCACAGAGTCACAGTAGACTTCGCTGTCGGAGTCGCTGGCCAGGTGGCTCGGACCGGACACCTCCACGCCGGCATCTGAGATCGCCACAGTAAAAGCTCAGCGTGAAATTGGAGCTGGAGGACGGCCGCGCGTGCTCAGTGTGCGATTTTAGCAAAGTCACTCATTGGTTCCATTACAAAGTGTCACAGGGGCACTCGAAGTGTTAACACGGGAATGCGGCCCTGCAGCTTATGCTGACACACCGGCTCGGGCGAACGCGGCGAGAGCGGAGCCCTCAGTGGAGGTCGGAACCTTACCCGAGTGGTGACCGTTGAGCAGAGTCTCTCCGAAGGAACCCCCCCGGGGGCTCCCGTTGTTCAGGGCGGCCCTGGGGGGATTCCCGTTGGTCAGATGAGCGACGCCGTTGACCAGTTTACCGTTCGACGGCGCTTTGGGTCTCCTGGCTGAACTCTTCTTCTTAGGCGGAGAGGCTGCGGATTTCTTGTCTGAAATGAAACCAAAAAAAAATCAGGTCAACAAAAGGTTTTCCTGACAATATTTATTGACAAAATATTTATAACATTGTTACCTTTGCGGACCTCCCGTATCAATACTTTGCCTTCCTCCTCCTCCCTCTCCTCCCCTTCCTCTGCCTCCTCCTCTTCTTCTTCTTCTTCTTCTTCTTCCTCTGCCTCCTCCTCCTCCTCCTCTGACTTTTCCTTCACTTCCTCTGATTGCAGCCTGGCAGGAAGAGTCTCCAGGGTGCCGTTCATTTTCATCGTTCTGACGATGCTCTTTGCGACGCTCTTCGATGGCCCTGAATTCAACATTGTGCCGAGGCCTGTGCAAAGCGACGGGACTTCGTTAAAACGCAACACAAATACAACACTTCCTTTAAGGGTGAGGTTAATACCTTCATCTACATGATAATCCCCTTGTTCTGCTAATTGGACATGCGCAACATGACAGCTAATAAGCACCTAAAGCATCGGAGCTACAACACGAGACAAGGGCCAAACTATAACACTTATAGCCACACAGGGAATATACTTGCCTTCCAGTTGCCTAGCAAACCGTGTCAAACGGGCTGAGCATACGGCGAGAGGCAAATCATAAAAAAGGTTAAGGCCTGCGTGCTGCTGTTGGCTTTCACAAGAACAAACAGGTAAGAGGCGGGGCCTAAAACCGACCTGTGCTCAGGTCGGATATCTGCGTGATCTTCTTCTTCTCGTCGATCAGCTCGTAGAACGGGCCGAGCACACGCAGGAGCTCCTCCACCTCGTCCGTCATGGGCATTCCTTCCAGGATCTACACGTCAAATGTAGAGACAGTTTCACTGGGATATTTATGTTATTATTTCTATGTAATCATTTGGATTAAGTCCTTACATACCAGCTTCATTTCGTCTACATAGGCTGCCATCGCATCTTCTTTCGGCATGTCTCCAAGAGAACTCCATGCATCCCTGAACCGTTCAGTTAACAAAAACTGTATTATTATTTATGCTATTATTACAGGAATTATATCCGTTAACTCATAAAAATCACTAATTTAAAAAAGTATAAAGTGTCAATTTCATCAAAATTGGGTTTCAACTTGAAGTGATCATGTTCTTTGTAAGCCGAGGGTCAAAAGCTGACAGAACCGCAGCAAATCATTGGTCACTCTGGTCATTAAGTGACTTTTAACAACACTCTGATGAACGTGCTAATCCTTGAGCGAAACCTTGCTGCGAAGTGGGTAAGAGGTTACGTTCCCACAGTCCAGAGGTCACCTGACGCAACACGAGACAAACGTCGGCGGAGCAGTCAGTCAGAAAGCTCAGCGGACGGAGCTGGACGGTGTTAGACGGTGTTGGACGCAGTGGCGCGTTGCACAGCGGGGTGAAAGTGGGCCAAAAGCAACAAGTTGCGCAACATGCATGAAAACAGATCCCAAAGGTTTCTACGATAATAAAATGTAGTGAGGACCTGCGTCCTGTAGCACCCACAGAGATCCGTTTAATATAAGATACATACAGGCAATAAATACAACGTACTGACTTTTATCTCCGCTTTGATTCTTACCATTTGGCTTTGCCAACCGCGTCCCAGAAGCCCGGTCGGGGTATATTGCACTTGCCCACAGTGGCCTGTTTGTAGTAACTGTAGAACTTGAGCATCATGTCATTGGAGGGCTGAAAGGGACCTGGGGGGGGAGAAATAAAGAACATTTCACACTGAACATGTGCAAAGTGGAACTGCTTTCTGAGCACTCTCCTCTCTGTTATGGATCCGAGAGGAGATTTAAAGTGCTTCTGCATTAAGATGCAGACTGCTGGCGGGGGGAAGAAAATCTCTGCACACTCTGAGCAAAGTGGATTAACCCCATTTTCTTTTCTTTTTTTAATTCGCAAAGTAGACCGAGCTGTTGCGCCGTCATTTAAAAGCAGGTCGGACACCATCGTGCCGCCGTGAACTCACCATCCGGGGCCAGACTCTTGATCACTTTGACGGCGGCCTCGAACCTCAGCAGGGTCAAGCGCCTCCCGTCCTCCGCTTCGACGCACTCCACCTCCATGTTGAGTCCACCAGAACCACCTCCCCGAGCCGGTCAACACAAACCCTACGGACACAATATATGACACACAACATATAAACCTCTCGGTAGCTATTTCCAGCTGATAAATCCAGAGTTCTGTCGCCGCCGTCGTAAACTGACGTTAGCTAAACTTGCAAGTTGCTGTTGTTTGTTGTTGTTGTAACCACCGGTGGGAGGTTTGTGTCGGTTTGTGTACCCAGGACACGCCGACCTGCGGTGCGACAACACCTCTAAGCGCGCCGGTATCCGCGCTCGATACGACGCGAAACGCTTACGTCCCGTCGACGGAAGCGCTGGAGGCCGACGACGCTTACCCGTTAAAGTCGACGGCTGCTCGTCAGAAGGCGACCCTTCAACCAGACGCCATGAACAGTGGTGTGAAGACAGACCGCGGTGCGCTACGGGAGTTGTAGTCTTTCTGCGGTACATCCACATTTCCGACAAGCTTCTCAATCGTTGGCGTCCGCTGCGAAGCTCGAGCGGAAGATTTTTTGTAAATGCTGGCTAAACAACTCAGAAAAGCTATGATCAAGTGAAAGATAAGAAACGTTGTGTTATTATTTTTAGATTTCATCTCAAATACCTAACTTTATCCCAGCGTATCCAAAGAGTTGGGTAAAACCACACTTCCCATAATGCAGCATTCAGGATCCATGTTTATTCTACAGTTGGAAGAGTGGTGGGGAAACGCGGAGAAAATAGAAAGAGCTCTCACTGTGTCTTTATTTCAGAGTACCACACGCAGTTAAAAAAAGGAACTAGATCTGGAATGAGTTGCTTAATGTTTTTTTATACTATTGTCTGAAATTGAAGCACAAATTGATTAATAAAATAATAATAATTTGTCATTTAAATATATATCACGTTTGATTTGGCCACAGTGTAAATATGTGTAATTAACATGTATAACTGAAAAAAAAGAAAATAAATGTTGTTTCAATAGGCATAGGAGGCCTAAATAATTAATAAATGTCCAAAGAAATCCTGAATCCACCGTCGCAGTGTATGCAGTAATGGAGAACATTGCGTTTCTTTTGCTGTTTAATTTTTCTGTCTTTTATTCTCATTACATGTTTTTAATAAGGCAATACAACGTTTTTTAAAAAGTGAAAATGTTTTATTTCCTTTAACCAGTGGTCCAATTCCAAGTATATAATACTGCAATTCAACTTTAATAAACGTTAAGGTTGTATGTATAATAATGATCATGAATCCTAGTTTGGAGTAGCATAGACTGAAGGTAAAATGAATACTAAATCATCCACTCAAATATATTAAAAATACCCGTAAAGTATAGTAATGCAAAAATGACCCCCTCCAGAATTAGATTACGATTTTTTTCTGTACTAATACTCCACTACAATTCTGCAGGATGGAATATACTGTAACTACTTTCAGTCAGTTCTGAGCAGCTTGTGCATTACATTCATGAACTTAAGGCACGCTACATTATCAATGACTTCATAAATGATTATATGTTTTCATTTGTCAATTCCATCATACAAGGTAGTTACCAAATTAATGTAACAGGACCCATTAACATAATATATGTTAATGGTCCTGTGTGTGTTTTGCCTCTAAGGGACGAAAATATTTCTCAAGAACGTCCTTCCATCATCGAACTCAACGCGCCAAACTGGTGCCACCTTTAAACCCCAGAGTGACTCCTCCCATTCAACACAGACGATCTTCGGATTGAGGTTACGCCAGCGCGAGGGCAGGAATCCCACAATAGCGGGCGGAGGGATTTTGTCTTTTTTTTCTCTCTCTCTTCTCTTTCTACCGGAGCACGGCCGAGCTGGTAGCCGTTTCAGTCACAGGGAAAGCGGCAGAGGGGAAGGGAGGCTCTGCGGAGGGATGTAAGATGGCAGAGCTACAAATGCTGTTAGAGGAGGAGATTCCTGCCGGTAAAAGAGCGCTCGTTGAGAGTTACCAAAACCTCACCAGAGTAGCGGACTACTGCGAGAACAACTATGTCCAGGTAAGAGAGTTAGCTAGCCCGCTACCTCCCACCGCCCTTTGTCGCGAAAAACGCCCGGGATCGAACCGCTTGTCGGGACAGGAAATGTGGATAAGAAAAGCAGGAATGATCTCCTCCGCCCAAAAGCTTTGAGTTTGACGCGTTCAAAACTGTGGGATATTAAGGCTACTCGTACGAGTTTGCACAGTTAATCACATTTATTCTGTTTACACGAAGGGTGTGACTACTTTTGAACAAAGCAAAACATTTTATTATTACCACTTGGTCGTTTTTCTTTTTTTTTTTTTTTTTTTTACAACTGTTTCATTTGCTTAAAAAATAGTTGACTTTAATTTCCTTTTTAACGACACCAGCGAAGAATTCGCCCCAGTTCGGTCGCCTAAATTGATGCTTACGCCGCCTAAAACAAACGTGTAACTACATTAGTCGGGCGGGGGGGCTGAATGTCACGCTACACCACTACACGTCCACATGAATATCGTGGTAACATGGCAGTCCACTGCATCCCACACGGCCTTTAAACTCACCGGTTAACACCACAGAAAGTCCCCGCTGGGATGCTGCAGGAGCGTTACAGAGGGCTGTGTAATGCACACATTACGGGCTCGTGAGCAGCGCGCGCTTTAATGCCAGTGCGTGGCTTTTAGTGTTGCTACGTAATTCTTTAACCCGGCGAACAACTTGTAATGCATCCGTAACGCGTTAATGCGCGCACGGGAGTGAACGCGGGGCTCGTTTGCAGGCTGAGGGAGGAACGCAAAAGACATTGTTAGTCGGTCAATAAAAAAAGGTCCGAGCTATTGATTTATCTCAACTTAATCGTGGGAACAAAGCTCTTTTTTTCTTCTTTCTTTGCGTCCTTTAGTTCAGCTTTAAGTTCTTCTTGATGGAAATGTTCTGCGGCGTGTCAAAGTGAAACCTCCGGTTGGCTTCTCGATGACCACAGCGTGTCCTCTGTCATATTTTGAGGACACCACAGTCTGCGCTAAAAGGAGGCAGCGGGACCGACTGAGAGACACACAAACTGAGGTTGCTGAGAGCAGGAAGACAGCCCAACATGTCTGCTGCAGAGAGGGTGCGTCCTCTCCAGCTGCCCCCCCCCCCCCCCCCCCCCCCCACCCCCAGGCCTCCCTGTAATTTAGTTGTTTTTCCTGGTTCCTCCCCCCCTGGGGATTTAGCATTGTGAGGACCAACTCTGAAGCTGTGGGCCACTTGTGACCCAAACAGAGCGAGAAGGTGGTCATCTTCATCCCAAACATGTGTCTTTTTCTGTGGGAGTCGTTGTTATGGACACAGCCCCCCCCTCCTCACAGGGACACACTATTGAGATCTCTCTCTGGAACATGGGAATGTCGTTTCCCCCTGAGAGTAATCCTCTGCAGCATCCGGGAGGCTTTTAATTTAGCAAAATCGTACACACGTACACTTGAGTTTAGACAGCATTTATTAATTGCTTTGTTTGTTGAATTTGACACCATCTAGTTGCCCATATTTTCCCATATTTAGTTAAGGTGGCAAACGGTGAACGTATTTAAATTGGATTAGTAGGGCGACAGATCAGCGCCGCTGTGGGCGAGTTGACTCCCGACGTTCAGCCATCGCAGCTCGTTCTTCATCTGCTTCCAGAGCCAACGTTAAAACAAACGATCCGGAGCTTCTCGTGTGCGGACTAACACGTGCACGCTTCATAATCCGCGTCTGCGTGCTGTAGATACCCCCCCCCACACACACCCTACTGCCTCTGATACAAAAACACACAAGCAACAAATGCTGTGCACACTCTGCACAGCGCGCACATATCGACATGCCTCAGCGTGACCGGGCTCGTCCTCCCAGCGACGCTCCTTCAAATGTCCGTCCCTCTTCTTCCTCCTCTTCCTCTGCTTCTTTGCTCTCCGTCCGCCGGTGTCGTGGCTCCGAGTGCAGCTCAGCCAATTGAAGCAGATGGTGAAAGCTTTGTTTAACCGAGAACGGATCACTGCGCCCCCCCCCCTCCCCTCCTCTTAACTGCATAGTGACTTTAGCGTGTCTTCACGAGTGTGCGTTGTGTGTGTGTGTGTGTGACAGGCTGACAGGTCAGAATTATGCTTCCTGTTTGCCGCGTAAACCCTGGAAAAAGACTGGAAATCCCCCCCCCCCACGTGAGGAAGCGGCTTCATAATGGAGCCCAACAACACCCTTTAAACAACGTCCGCCCGATTAATCCATGGTCGAATATTTCGATGTGCCTCTGTTCATGTATTCTCGCCCATGGAAACGGATTTGTACTGTCGTTTTGTTGCGTTTGAGTGAGCTTGAGACGTGGACACGTGCAGACTGTATGCAAAGTGCCACCTGGCCGGCTGCACTACAACTCAGCATGCGAAGACATTTGTCCGCTGGCAGGAAATCTATTTGGAATAGTCTTGAGGATGTGTGAGAGTACATCCGATGTCTTTCGTCCTGACGAAGACGTGACCGCGACGTGGAAGACGCCGCTCTGTGTTATGCGGCTCAGGAATGTATCCTGATGAAACGCTGCTGGATGAACATGAAGAAGAAAAAGGGGAAATGGAAGTGGCCAACCCGAGACAAGTGACTCCGGCCTGCTGAGCCAGCGCCAGGCACACTCGTGCTTTCGGTTCCTCGTTTTCCTTTCCTTCTCCCTCCTTGGTTTGCCTCCGCTCTGCAGGGCCGATCCGTCGCGGAAAAAGTCCGGCTGGCCGCTGGAATTGTCTGCGAACACTCTTCGTCTTTGTAGAAACGTGCGGATAATCCGCCCAAATCTACATCCCGCCGACCGGAAAAGAAACGACCCCATAAAAGAAATGAATGCCTGAGTTGGTTCGCTGATTGAGTCCAGTGCGTCGCTCCAGGTGGAGCGCATTGACTTCCTGCCCGGACGAAACGTGTAAGAAGTCACTCAAGAAAGGTTAATTAGCTCCCTCCCATGCGCAGACTTCCCCTTTCGTGTCTCCTCGCTGACATACTGAAGGAATTCTTAATTGTGCGCTGGCAGTTCTTCAAGGTCGGGTCGACCTTCTGGCCTCCATCTGCCCCGAAAGGAATTCTGAATTCACGCCGCGCAGGAGGACGGCTTGAGGTCACGTCTGCAGGTGGTCCTCACGCTGTTTGTGCGCATCCAGTCGGTACTGAACACTCCCACCCGGACCAGTATGTTTAGCTTTTCTCACCCGGCATTAATTCCCAGTGTGAACCAGCAACAGCAGAAGCCCCTCCTAAACTTAGCCGTCTACATTGTTCCTCTCTGTGCAAACGCAACAATATAATAATATTCTCCATAATAGATAATCTGGCTGACAAACAAATCGGGATCATTGTGATGTCACCTGTTAGTTACTAATCAACCCAAAGACCGTTTAGGGTTTCGTTTGCGTGTCTATAGTTAAATATTAGTTTTTATGCTCCCTGCCGTAGTGGCGCCAGTCGCTATTGTTCTGGACACAGTTTGCATATCGCAAATCTGCATACAACATACAGTGTTTCCACGAGCAGTGGTCATCACGGACAAGATAAAGGAAGCCAGTGATTCATGCCGACCTCGACGACCTCGCAGGCAGAGTGACTCTCGTCGGGGCCGCTCCTGCCGAGGTGGATTGTTTTTTGGAGGGGGGGGTCTCTGTTTGTTTTTATTCCTTCGTGCACTCCTGCAGCTCTCCAGCAACACTTTGGAGGCCGATTACATGTTGCAGGATTCCAAACATTCCTCAAATGTTTTTATTTGTAGAAGGCTCATTTCACGCCTGTGGACAAAGTGGCAACGAACCCAAAGTGTGCTCGTCAGCAGAAGATTGCTCGGTGGAAACACTGCGTGATGTTGTCATCACGCCGGCTGCTCGTACATGTTTGAACTGCTTTTATTTTAATCCCCGAGTTAAGAGTTAAGGGGTCGGGAACGATGAATCAGTGGGGTTTTTATGTCTCACTTCCTCGGATTAGTCATGTCGGGAGGAGCACTCATCTTGTCCGTTTCCTATTCATGCTCCGGCTTCTTCACCACGTAAAAAACCTGAACAGTTTCTTTTTCTAAAAGGAGGAAGTCTTCCAATGGCCTTCAGCAAACCTCGGATGTTATCTCACTGTTTCCCCTCCGCAAAAAGCCAAGGAGACTGTGACATCGGCTGTGGATGAAAGCAGAAATCAGAGCGAGATACGCTTTGACATTTAGCTTTTGTACTAAATAAAACTCCTGTGCGCCACCTGGTTTATAAAAAAAAATGTCAAAATCCATCTCCATTACAGCTGCTGTTATCTCGTCAGACTGGAAGGACGAACCACAACCGGTTTATTCATCCAGTTGAAGGCTTGAAAAGCTTCCCATGAAACGCATTCCCCTTCTCGTGGCTGCCGGCCGCGTGTTCCTGCCCTCTTCCTGTGGCTGATGACCCGTCTCTCCCCCCCCGACCCCCCCGCTCCCAGCTGCACTTTGCCTTTGTGTACACGGGCCGCGCATTCCTCAGTCCTCCCTGAACCCGGCCGAGGTGCCGACGGCCCGCCTGACTCCGCCTCCGCCGCCGAGCAGCGCCTTCCTGCCGTTACTCCGCTCAGAAATATGAGATAAAGTGCCCCGGGAGCACTGAGGCCCCCCCTCCTCCTCCCTGACAAATGGAGGTCATGGGGAGCAAAGACTAATGAAACAAGAAATCTGGTTAGTTTGAGGATTCGTGCACAGCCGACACTAAGAAGCCGGCGGCGGCGACGCAGTTGCGTGTCTCCGCCTCCCGCCGCCGACCCCGCGCCACGTCTCCGCCGGCGAGTACGGTTTGCACCGGTCTGTTGCAGAGAATGTCCAGGGACGGATTCCACCACTGATTTTGTTGACTCTTTAAGAAAGACGTTGAGTGAGCTCAGGATTTGAGGAATTACAGTTTGTGTGATGAACTCGACGCTTAAGATTTAACCTCGCGTGAACCGTGAAAGGAAGGCGCGGCCTTCGGTCGGCCTCCTCCATTCGGCGTGCGGCGTGCTTGACCAATTAAATCTCGTCCATACTGAGTGCGGTAAAGGAATAGTCTTGGACGGGGTGCTTCTGCATCGTCGATTGGAGACAAAATGTTAGTTCATTGTGGACTTTATAATGCAGAACTATTAGAAAAACGCCATCACACGTTGTGCTGTTGGAGCGAGCCGGGACCGCCCCGAATGAATGTGTTTGTAAGACGCGCAGGATGTGAATGAGTATTTCTTTACACGTCACAGTACGGCATTTGTGCGCCCGGCGCATCAATGGGGCTGTTTTCTCTGTGCACTGTTGCAGCTGCAGGATATTGACAAAAGCAAGTTAATTGTGCAGTTACGTCGTATTACAATGTGGTGAATTTGCATTGCAGAATGTTTCTGTACATGTTGCGGCTCGTGCTCCGTAGCTGTCACTGAAATCCCGGCCTTTTAATTCCGCAGTTTAATATTACTGTAGCTTTTTGGATTGTAAATCTTCTCCAGTGAAATTTGTGAGGCTGATAAATTCTAGTAGTTTTCAGCAACATGAACACAATCTCTCATGCAGCCTCATATGTAGGCCAGCAGTTCTGCAAAGGCAAGCGTATGTCGTGCAGTAATCTCTTTGGAAAAACTGCCTCCCTTTGCTGTTTAGAAACGGCCGTGATGCATTTTGGGCTGTTTTTGTTTGTTTTCTGTTTTCTGTGTTTCGTGCATTCTTACTGCAGCTGTTGCTCATCTCCCACGCTGCATATTGTGGTGTCAGTAGAAGGTGTTTGCGTGTGCACATGAATGAATATGCCTCCGGCAGATGGCCTTCTTGGCTACGAGCACCCTCCGGAGGAATCTCCCCTTCCTTCCCGAGGCCGCAGCACATGCGGCACCGCGATTCGCCGCTAAAAGGAACGCATCCCAACGTGGACGCGAGGCCGCGGTCAGGAGCGGTGCGGGTCAGGGGCCAACAGCCGGACGGCGGCGTGGCTGCTCCGGGTTTTGACCACTCGCCTCCCTTCTTCACGCGGCCAAATTTTTTGTTTGACCCTTTAACCCAAAAATAAAAAAAACCCCCCCCCCCCCCCCCCCCCCCCCCCCCGCTACGGGGTCTGTTATCAAAGCCCAGTGTGCGTGTGTTTGAAATATCAAACATTCCAGTTCTCTATGTTGTGTTTTCTCCTGAATGAATATAAGACCTGATCCGCTTCCTTTCTATTAATATGTGCTCATTGTTTAATACACAGCCCCGTTTTCTCTCTCTTTTTTAAGCTGTTTGTCGTTTGTGACCAATAAAACGTGTTTAGTAAACTACAAATGAACTGAAACATTTCCACCCAAAATGATCACTGACAACAACACTATACTTGGACATAATTTTTAAAAAAACACAGAAATCTGACCAGATTTTGATGAACATGCTAAGTTTGTTCAATTCCACCAGCTGGCCAAGTTCTCTGGCCAAGATCATAAATATAGTTCCTCTGTTCCCAGAGCCTCCCCTATGGCCGCTGCAGGCCGGGTTACATCATCTCAAATCCCCCCCGGAGCGAGCGCGGTATCATGGGAGTGAGAGTTGGGTGGGAAAAGGATGCTTTTGGCTGCTCTTGTTTGTCTGCGGATCCACCACAAACATGACCTGGATAGAAGATGAATGCAAATGTTATGCGACGATAACGTAACTGGGTTCCCATTCAATCTTTTTTTTTTTTTTTTAATATACACATAATTTATCTCTAATCCCTTTGTCATGCACAGGCCCAGGACAAGAGGAAAGCTCTGGAGGAGACCAAAGCCTACACCACCCAGTCGCTGGCCAGCGTGGCCTACCAGATCAATGCCTTAGCCAACAACGTGCTGCAGCTGCTGGACATCCAGGCCTCGCAGCTGCGGCGCATGGAGTCCTCCATCAACCACATCTCCCAGGTCAGAAGCGCGCACACACACACACACACACACAAACCACAGGCCATACAACTGTGAAGAATGGTACCCCACACGTCCCACTTCTGCTCTCACTCCCACACAGACTCTGGTTATTTTCAAACACAGTGCGAGGCTCTCTAGAACCCCCGCGGTTCCTCTCGTTGGCCGGCGTTTGGCCTGAGCGTCTGACTGGCCGTGTGTCCGGCCAGATGACTGGCGCTCTGTTTGCCTCCCCTTTTGTTGCCCCCGTCGTCTCAGGAGGCTCTACGCACGTTATGAAACATTTAGCACAATCGCTCTAACTTGTGATTACTGCTCCGTAGGGTTCATTACTACATGCTGGTCTTGTGGACTCTGGTACGGTATAATAATATCTGGCATTTGAAAAATGGGCAGAAATAACTATAAAACTTATTCAAACTTAAGTTCTGCGTTGGTCTTGTGTGAAAAGGAGTTCGAGGCCTGTTGAGTTCGATGATTGATGAAAGTTTCACAGAACACGGTGATGCAGCATTTCATTCCTGACTTCTCTCCATAGCATGAGACTTCCTGCCATGTGCAGGTAAATCCATCCGCTCATCCAATGAAGGCATTAAGAGCTCAGACAAATCAATAAGAGCGCTGCAGCCAGGTGGCCTCTCGTAGATTACAAGTGGGTGGCATTCACCGGACATGGGACACGCCAATAGCTGTCATCACGCTTCAACTCAAAGTTAATAATTGCCGGAATAAAGTGGGGCGTTTCTTGTAGGAAACAATCTTTCCGTAAATGACGGCGTGATCTCGGATGAAACGGAGGGAGGAGGAGTTCCTCTTTAGCTTTCTGCTTTCCCATGTTCGCTATCCGTGTTTGTCCTCTGACAGAAAGTCCTGCAGGATACGGTGAAGGTCAGATTTTCAGTCTAATGGAGGGAAAATAGGACGAGAGAAAGATAGAGAGAGAGAGATGATGACAAGCAAAGAAAGGCGAATTCTCGCTTCTTCGGGTTTTAAGTCAATACCCAGACAATAGCATTCATCTGACACCAGGGTCACTACCTGCCTCGGTCTCCATGACAACCCTGCAGTCCACGTCTGAGAAGCACGGTTGTACTTTACATTGTTTGACTTCCCGTCAGCGGTTCTTGTCTATTTAACCCTGAGTTTGTGTACTTTGTGTGTAGCCACGGGGGAAAAGGAACCAGATGCTGTCGCAAAGAAATAATTGGCCTCTTTCTTTTGAGTTGCTTTATGTTAAAAAAAAAAAAGCTGGAAAGTAAAATGAAACCTTTCTCTATTGCATAATATGGATGAATTAGCGGCTTTATGTGAATATGTCTAAAACGCTGAATGCTAAATAAATAGTTATGTTTGTTTGTATGTGCAGTCAGGAGGTAAATGTAATGCAAATACTGAAATGGTGACGATTGAGATGCACACCGACGTCTGATTTAAGAACTTCAGCCGCTGTGAAAACGGCGAGGCTCCATGCGAGCAGTGCTGGGTGGCTTCAGCATTTCATCTGTGAATGTATTTCTTGCAGAGGGGTCTGATGGGGGGACGAAGGGGGAGGTGGGGGGGCTCCACCTTGTGCTGCGTGTGAAGTGGCTGCTAAGAGGCTGCAAACAGGGAGCGCTTTGTCCCAAGGAAATGCCTCACATTGAGAACCGCTCTGATACCCGAAAAGAGAGGAAAGTGTGTGTGTGTGTGTGTGTGTGTGTGTGTGTGTGTGGGGGGGGAGGGGGGTTTGAGGTCATGCACAAGCAGCCAATGTCAAAGCCGCTGCTCCTGTGGCCTGATTGTGTCATTGTTGACATTCGTCTTCTATTGAGTTGCTTTTCGCCTCAAACGTGCAGCGACACGCGAGTTCAGATCTGAAATGATCGTTGCCATTAAATCATGGACGGAGTTTGGGGGGAAGGGAGCGTCGGTGCTGAGAAGGAGACAGCAGCTTTTGTTTGGGGGAGCTCGGATTTATATAAACTCAACTGAACTCAATATAAGCTTAACTTCGCAATACAGGGGATCCACTTCAGGTACTTTCAGCAAACCTCGACTAACCCCAAAAGTAGAGCTAACCACCGCTTCCATCCGTGGTGCACACGTGTCTCTGTGAGCGACCACCAAACAAAGACGTCGCGGCTGACTCATCGAGCTCCCGCGACCTCTACACAGCCTGTGATGCTTTCACACCTCCACTATGAATAAATAGAAATAAAGGGCTTTTATACAGGCTTTTTTTTTTATCACCGCCCTGTCAGAAAATGACTCGCGCTTAAGTTCATTGGAACAATATTAGCGAAGCTGCAAGGACGGACGTCTCGTGTCTGTCTAAGATCTGCTAGAATATTCGTATCAGTTTTTATTGATTCAAGTGCCAGAAATGTAGCTTTTTCTTTCTTAGAAACATTCAGTGGGGTCAAACCACGTTCACACCACAAACTAACCAGTCTGTTGATCGTTGCCCAGCACGCCGTCCACATCTCAAGCAGCAGTATTGGGTGTGGTGGTAAAACTGGCGGAGCTGTGCGTGTGATTTGTATGAAATGCTCCGCTGCAGCTGTGCTTCACACAGATGTTGAGCTGCTCCCACTGACAGTGGGAGCTGGCAGGCGTGCCGATTGAACCCAGTGACCACGGTGACGACGCGTCTACAGTACACCGCTCTGTGTGTGTGTGTGTGTGTGTGTGTGTGTGTGTGTGTGTGTGTGTGTCTCTCACTGACACGCCGTTAACACAGTTACACAACTGTCTGATCTGATCCTGGGTCAGCCCGTGTTTGTATTTGCACGCATCGGTTCGGTTGTGTTTCCATTTCAGCCCTCATTCCTTCAGATGTGCAGTTGTATGCCGCTACACTCTGGTGATTTTTTTTTGTGTGTGTGTGTGTGTGTGTGAGTGAGAGAACACACACACATGCACAGGCTTTAGGTAGCGTCTGTGTGCTGCAGTGGTGGCTTCCTGACCTCCCGTCGAGGAAGAATGGCGCCGATCCAAACAGGAAACGAAGCCTCCTAGGTCTGTGTGTGTGTGCGTGCGCGTGTGTGTGTGTGTGTGTGTGTGTGTGTGTGTGTGTGTGTGTGCGTGTGTGCGCGCGCTCCTTGTGTTTCCTGCTGATCAAACTGCTTGCTTGTGTATTTTGGTCTCTCCTGCTCCCCTGGCTGTGAAAAGAGTTCCTTTCCGTTTGTCTGTACTTTCATTTGGATGTTGGATATTTGCAGGAAGTCTCCGTCATCTTTTTCTCTCCAGTGGATTACAGCGATGTGTGTGTGTGTGTGTGTGTCTTTCTCCAACCCCAATATATTATTTTATATTTATATTTTTTATATTATTAGATATTATTTTTAAACCATATCCATCTTTTGAACACATTTTAAACACCTGTAATGTTTTTTTTTGTCTGTTGATGTCAATTTATTTACGGTTTTAGTTCAAAGTTATTATTCCAGTGATTTTCAAAAAAAAACTTTCACTCAAAACTAATATAAATAGCCGCCTTTATTTTCGAAGCGTCGATGAACGAGTGGAGAATTTAGCAATTTAATTTGAATTCATTTGGTAAGAATACCAGTTGTTGGTTTTGATTTTATTCCAACATCTTCTCCTCTAAGAAGTTTCTCGGGGGTGTAAAGACAAAAAAAATGACAAAATCAATAACTTCTTTTGTAGTTTCTGTTTTTTCCGTGAAGCAAGTTTGGCGTCGTCTTCATCTGTGAGCGGTTAGCGGCTCTGCATGATGTTGATCAGTGGATCATCAGCTCTGCTTCCACTTCCACTTCCTCCTCCCCCTCCTCCTCTTTCCTTCCCCACGTAACAACACTCGCATGAAATCACCTCTGCTCCTCGGTTCCTCCCTGTTTCAGAACCCTGTTATTTACCCGCCGCGCATGAACGAGCCTCAGAGCCCCACCGATGGGCCTCTGGGCGACGTCCCTCGGGGGGAACGTGGGGATTTGCACAGAAGGAGAACTTCTTTTTTCTCTCTCCGTCCCCGGGGGAAGATAAGTCATAAAGAGGGGAGGACCGTGTCTTCGCCCCATTGAGATAAATCCTCTGGCGGCGAGCCTGGATCTCAATCCTGCACATCTGTAAAGACGAGCTCGCCTCCCGACCAGGAACGGCCTCCAAAAAGACCGCGTTTTATTCCATAATTAAGCGTAGCCCTGGTTTTGGATTTTATGCGGCAGTAAAAGTAAATGTCTTTATGTTCTTGGTCGGCGTACCGGGGGAACGGAGAGCTCCTCAGTGTCGTCTCTCCTCATTCACCATTGGCCCACACATCAGGTCCGACCGGCCACGCAGGATTTGTGTCCTAGTAGTTTTTCTTCTTCGCCGTAGTCTCTCCCTCGAGCTGCGCTTGCCTGCGGCTTGGACCGGTTTTTCCTGCCCGCTTCTGATTGGCCGATGCAATCTGACTGACGGATTCACGCCTCCTCTGCCGACTTCGTGTGTCAACGTGTGACCTGTTTTCTCCCAATACTCCACCCGTGGTGTTAATCGGTGTTACGAAGAGAGGCTCAGATGAGTCCACCGTGGGAAGAATGTCATCGTCATTCAATACCACGAGCCTGAAAAGCTGTTTTGAATGAGAAGAAATCATAAATCTGTTCATTAATTTAGTCTCTTTGCTTTCAAACAAACACACGCCATAATAAGCTATTGGAAGGGCCGGATGCTCGGTGAATAAGAAATATATCGGGAATATTACAGCACTGGTTGCTACTGACAACACAACAAGAATCTCTCACCGTGGCAACCGCTCACTCACTCACTCACTTGCCAAATGGGAAGAACCCTTTCAGTCCAAAGTGGTCTGGACTGCGTCGGTTTTGTCTCTGCGGCTGGAACGAGACGACGACGATGCGGCTGGCTGCCGTTTCGACGTGTGACCCAAATCCTCCCGGCGGTCACCGAGGTGGCGAACGCCGAGAATTAAAGGGATAGAAAAAGAACAAACTCAAAAGGATGCCGAGGGAGAATTGAAGAGTTGAGTAATAAAAGAAGACGAGGCCTTTTTTTAAACCAAACCCAAGATCCAGAGAGGCTCGGCATCTTTTTTCTTTTTTTTAAAGCGCCGGTCAGAAAACGAGGTTTGGAGTTGGCGTCCTGTGCGCCGTCCTCTCGGTGTACAGGAAGGAGATTACCTCACAGCAGGCCGCCCTCACCCCCCCTCTCCCCCCTGCGAACAAGACCAGGTGCTTTCCCAGTTTAGATGCAATAATGAACAGTTTTCTTCCTGGCGCTTTTGCTGTGGGACTTTTCCTTTTTGGAGTTCTGGCTGGAAACGTCAGCTCTTATGACACGACAACGTGAATTAGCACAAATATGCAGGTTTTAAAATGGAGGGTAGACTACAAGTGAAACTGTTTCGCTGGTTAACACACACATTTTATTGAATTATAGTTGTACAAATCCCTGCTGGTTTAATTTATTACATTTCCTCTTGCACGCACGTGACATCGTATCTGGCTGGAAAGAGGCCGTTCGCGCGGATACTGTCCCCCCTGACCTGACCTGAGTCGTTCAGCGCGTGCGACTTCATTAGTGGTGGGAATGAGAACTGATTGCAACCTTTTCCACCAGAGACAAGAGCCAGATGTTTGTGGGTGTCCGTTTGTTTCAGTCCCAGTGAGGTGAAAGCTTCATTTCTGAAGGAAAACCAGATCTAGACTGGCTGAGCTCTCCGCTGATCTCCATCAAAGCCAATCACTGCCCCCCCCCCCCCCCCCCCACACACACACACACACACACACCCCAGAAGGCTGATTACATTTTAGGACAGTTGTTTACAGACATTCATGATTTATGAGCGTCATCTCTGAACTGTGTTTGGAGTAAAACAATGTTTTTAATGTTCTTGTTGGCCCGGCTTCGCCGTCCCCTCTTGATTCAAACAGGGAAAACGGAGCGGATGTCCCCGCTTCGCACGGGAAGTCTCCGCGGGAGCAATTATGTATGAGCGGCTTTTCCCGTTATGAAATATTGATATTGTCACTTTGGACAATCTACCGCCTTGTAGCCTCTTGCGTCCTGTGAGAAGCTGAGGCCGTGTGTGCGAGGAGCGAATCACACCGGGCTTTATTTAGTCTGTTATAAACATCAGGCTTCCATAAGCTCATGTTTACAATGTTTACTAAGGGAATAAATCCAGAGAGAGTAGAGTCCTTTTCTCATAGACGTCTATGGGACCAGAGGAGGACCCCCGATGGTCACTGGAGAGAATGCAGGTTTGAGTGTCTGTTTAGTTTCACGGAGCAGAAGGATGCTGCCTGTAGGACGTCGTATCTGCTGCTCATCACCCGTCGGCTCCAAAGGTTTAAAATTAGTCTCCGAGGCACAGAAGCAGAGTTCAGTCCAGCTCCAGATCCCCGGGGCATGAAAGGAATCCTCTGTGGACCCCCGCCTGCCCCCCCCGTGAGAGAGACAATCGTTTTACTGCTCGGCCCTCTGCAGACATTGCAGCCTTTCATGTCTCGGAGAAAAGGGCGGCCGGGTCGGGGGCTGTGAACGCGGTGGTGGGCGATGGCGTTCACATGTGTAGGAGATCGGATGGATGGTGTGGAACCCTTCTACTGTAATCTACGGGAAAGAGTGGAACATTAGTGTGACCACCGGTTGGTCACGTGGCCACCTGCAGGACATTGTGATTGGGAGCGTTTCACGGATTTCTGACATCTTATAGACCATAAATTAAAGTTTAATCCATGATGGAAAGAAGTGTTAAATCAGCCTATAAATCTAAGAAAAAAGAAACTTCATTTCTGACGTTTGGAGCTGGCAGTGTGGACGTTCTCCTAATGCTTCTTAAATATAATTAGTTTTCATGAAGGGACAGGCTAATTAATGGAGCGCTGGGGCAATTGGTGGAAAACATTCTTGTGTCCCAAAGAGCATAAATAATTCATCACGGTTTGGCTCAAGAGCGTCGCAACAGGAAGATGAAAGTGAGATTTTTCCAAATACACAATAGACTTTATTTTATTCCTCTGACACATGAACAGGGTTGAATCACATTTCATCACTTTTAACTCAACTCATCGCTGCCCTTTTTAGATCAGTCGGTTTCGTTTTGAGAAGAAGCTTCCAGGTGCACATGCTCGGGTCATTATTACCTTCAGGCTCCCGACCGCCACTCAATTCCCTTCGTGTTGTAAAAAGATTACAAGCTCGGTGATGAAATCCCCGACCCGGTGATTTAATGAAACCGTCCCCCCCCCCCCCCCCCTTCTCCTGTCATGCACAGACGGTGGACATCCATAAAGAGAAGGTGGCCAGGCGGGAGATCGGGATCCTCACCACCAACAAGAACACGGCCAGGACCCATAAGATCATAGCGCCGGCTAACATGGAGCGGCCCGTCAGGTACATCCGGAAGCCCGTCGACTACAACGTGCTGGACGACGTGGGCCACGGCGTCAAGGTGAGTTTTCCCCCCTTACTTTTAGATCTGCCCCCCCTCCCCCGATTGGCGTTCTCCATGCTTAATTAGTTCCTCTGCTTCTGTTCTTCCACTATATCAAATGTTCTCACCCATCCCCCTCCTCTCGTTCTCGCCAGAGGTGTTTCTATTTCCTCTCTTCTCCCTCTCTGGCGCTTCCTCTTTCATCTTCAGAAAGAACCCCTCTCTGACCCTACAGGAATACGTTTCGCTGTGTGTTGGTGGGAACTGGTCGGGGGCGGGTGGAAAGAAGGGAGACAGAAAAAAAGTGATTACATCACAAAGCCGAAAACGGCTCCGTCGTCGGCGACGTTTTCTAAAGGCACTTAGGCCTCGGATCGCCCTCGTGATCCACTTCTCCGGTTCCTCTGAAGCAAACGGCTGCCATTCCGTTTGTACTTTTCGCATCGTGAAACATTCTGAAAGGCCGCCGAGAGGCTGGTTTTCATGTGATGAACTCTCGCCATCCAAGTGGGGCATTTTCAACCCCCCCTCCCGCCCCCGGGGGGCTCGCTTTCGGGGTCACTGGGTCGTCCCGACAGCGGCGGTAATGACATCGCTTCTCCGATGGCCGGAGGCATTTTTTTTTTTTGCGATCTCCTCCCTCCCCCTTTTGAGCGTCCTCTGCCCAATCAATCACCCGATCAATGACAGCTTTCAGTCGGATTGGATCAGAGGCCCGACATGCTCGTCCTGTAGCATCGCGGCCGTCGGTAACAAAAGCCATCGCGTCGCTGTGCGTGGGGTGAAGTTAAAAGATGCGTTTCATTGTTTTTGAATTAAGAATATGAGGCCCCTCTCATGTCTGAATGCTAAATACATACATACAAATATGCTCATACATGTATCGTTGCTGTTTCCCCCCCTACTTTGCTGTCTGCAGAAAGCAGACAGTCGAGGCCCGTGTGAGTCATCCACGCGTCTGACCGCAGTCCCGCTGCGTCATCACATAGTGTCGAATTACCAAAACCGTCGTGATCCACGGCTGCTTTCAGAGGGTTCCATACGTCTATTTTAAGAACATTACACATTCCTCCTCGTCTAATCTCACGGGATTTTCTCCTTAAAACGTCCGTATTAATGCAACATTTACGTAGTGAATGTGATGAGGAACACACACACACACACACACACGCTCCTACATCACCCACGGCCTATGCATGTCACAGCCCAATCAATACTCCATGTCGATACTCCATATTAATTCATATAGTATCCGCTGATGGCCGGCTTGTATGGAATATCTATAGCCGCCGTTTACTTACTGAGCCCAATCAATACTTTTAATAGGAGTTTAAATCATGTCTGTTGCCGTCGGTGAAACTGCCTTCGGCCTGTTTGTTAAGCTAAAAACCAAAAGCTACGTAGCTTTTGGTTTCCGCTCACATATATTATTGAGTGGAAGCTGATGTTGGATCTGGAGGCGGGATGAGTCTGTGAGATAATCTGAACATCCTGTTGTTGATCATTTGAGACGACAGATCTGGATGTTCCTGCTTCTCGGTGACGCAATGCTTTTTAGCTTTAATACCAAAGATGAGATTAATTTATTTTTTATCAGTCTGCTGATTAATCTGGTCAGCGGGGACGATGTCAGGTGTGTGAAGTTAAATTGCATTCCTGTTGTGTTTGAAACATTATCTGAGGGATTGTTTTTGCGGTAAAGTGTACTTGAGGTGACAAAGCCATGTCTCCCTTTTTTAGTTTTAAGGTCTATTCCTGCATATTCAGAGGTCAGCAAGTCCCATTTGGGGTTTATTGTTGAGGCCCTGGTGCGGTTTCATAACGCTGCAAACACTCCATGAGCAGCGCACACGTACAGCAGAAGATTAGCTGCTGTATCGGGTGTAATAATTACAACCTCAATCAGATTTCATGCTCCATTTCAATGAGAAAAGGATCATGATGTGTTGATGTGCACATTTCTGCCCTGTAAAAAGACATGCATAACGGTAAAAATAAAAAGTACAGAACGTGTTTACATTAAATGACACACCTACCCGTTGGAGTAGTTTTCCCAAACCATATTCGGCTTTTCCTCTGGAGGACATCTTTTTTTGGGACGTCTCCTTGGCGACGGCCATAAACTCGGGGAGCGTCTTTTATTCTCAGCGAGCCCTGACGGAACGTGTTGCTCCAGTTTCTTTCAGCCGTTTTTGGAAGTGATGACGACCGTAGTGTGAACCACTATTGGACTCGGGGCGTTAAAGCATTTCCACGCTGCCAGTCCGGTTCGTGCCGCACAAAAGAGACGCGGCCGGGAAGATGAGGGAAGGCCGTCGCTTGACCTAGATTTGTAAAGCGAATCCCGTCTAGCGCCGATATCCCGGGGTGAGAGAATGTGAAATGTGCCGCTCGCAGCTGCACTGAAGAGGCAGAGAGCACCTTGATGCGCTGACCCACGCCGGGAATCTGCTCCTGGGTTTCGTCTTCTCTCGTTGGACTGGTGAGAAGCTTCAGTGCTTTCTGCAGAGGCCACCGGGGGAAGCTGCATTATAGATGAGCCACTTGACTCTGCAGTTGTCACTCCCCACTGCTTCTGTATGCGCCTGTGTTCCCTCGGACGTCGGCCCACACGAGAACAGAGGTGGTTTTTGTAGCGGCCAGCAATGCAAGCATCAAAAAACCTTGACATGTATCCCAAAAAAATGAATCAAATAGATGGTCGGCAGACTTTTCTTTAGGAGTCTTTTTGATGCACAAATGTAAATTCCTCAATCTCAGGCACCGCGTGAGGACGGAACCCGTTTGGTTGGTTCATGATATCCGTGTCAGGTTCCTGTGATCCTCCCGGGCCGCGGCGCCGGGCGTGGCGCTGCAGCTCTGCAGACACGACTTGTGACCGCTGCCCTGCCCGGCCCTTACTGAATGTTTACTCGGTGTAAATACAGCGAGGAATCATTTTCCTCCTGCCCGCCTGTACTTTGACTCCTTCTGATCCGTTTATGGCCGTTTTTTGACATGCCTCATTTCTGTCCCTCTCTCCTTGTCTTTTTTTCCCCCTTCCTTGACCTTCATAAGTGGCTAAAAGCCAAGGTAAGTCTGGTTTGTCACATGACCCATTTTACTACGATGTATAATTGATAGATTCGTTCGACTCCCTTTGAAAGCAAATCCCTATACGTGTCATTGTTGTCGTCATTCCCGTTAACCGACTTGTATTGTAGTCCTCTTAGTATAAGTACCCCCTCCTGTGTGTCACCCCTTAGTTTACATGTGTAGTGTCCCCTGTAAATGTTCCCCAGTCGATCCTTACAGGCTCCCCAGACACGGCACACATCCTTCTTTACTTTAAATCCAGATGTTGCAAAATTCAAAGCCGTAAAGTCGTTGGGTTTTTTGGGTGCTAGGCGATTGTTAGGAAAACAAGTGTTGTGCAAGGAGCCTTGTTGGGACAACCCGAAGGTGTCTAACCTGCAAACGCCCCAAGACTGAGTCTCCAGAAACAAACATCTGTGTCGTCCTCTGGGAAGCCTCTAACGTTGAGACTTTTGTCACCCGGTTGTATGAAATGATGTGTGTGTCTTAACGCGTTTCTTCTCGCCACAGCAACTTGGAAACAACCAGTCAGTCAGAGGAGGAACTCTATCGAGGACCAATCCGCCGACGCAGAAGCCGCCGAGCCCGCCCATGTCGGGGCGCGGCACCATCGGGTGAAGACTTCCGTTAAAAAAACACTTCAAAATTCCAAAACACTGAATAAGTGAAAGAAAAAGAAGAAAAGAAAAACGAGTTCCCACGGTTTAATATTAATTTGCCTTTTCCCTGCCGTGCAGACGCAACACGTCCTACAAGACCCTGGAGCCCGTGAAGCCGCCCACGGTGCCCAACGACTACATGACCAGCCCCGCCCGCCTGGGCGCCCAGCACAGCCCGGGACGCACGGCGTCGCTCAGCCAGAGGCAACGCACACACAGGTACACACACACACACACACACACAGCAGGTTATTAATAGGCTCTCGGTTAATGTGTCACTGTTTTCTCTGTTTCATATCCTTGATAATGAAATGTCTGTCTGTAATGTGAGACACACAAACAACAACGTGGGGCTGTTATTCGCTCTGGCAGCTTTAATGTCATTGACTTCTATTTTTAAACGTTTGACAGACTAAAGGATTCACTCATTAATAGATGAATTAGTTCACAGTGAAAGTACTCGACATCGGGACATTGTTTGCACTTGGCAGGAAAACGTGTGTGTGTGTGTGTGTGTGTGTGTGTGTGTGTGTGTGTGTGTGTGTGTGTGTGTGTGTGTGTGTGTGTGTGTGTGTGTGTGTGTGTGTGTGTGTGTGTGTGTGTGCGTGCGTGGATTAGCTACAGCAGCAGATCAGTACACAGAAGAAGTGGTAGCATTACAGCATAGATGAACTACTACTCATGACCTCGTAGCATCGAGCTGATACGATCGAGTTATTAATCTGAACTTCAAAAGCAAACTTTGGGGCTTACATCTGCAGATGAAACGTTAATGAACTTTGCAAAGCTTTTAGCGGCGTGTGCGGCCGGTGCTTCATACCTTTATCCACCCGTTTCCAGATAGGCAGGAGTGGAATTAGTGCTCCAGCTACACCTCTTTATACCGATCACATGGTGTACTCTGCAAAGCGTCTCTCCAAAGAAAACCCACAGTTGCTCTGTGTCGTATACTTCTAATCTCTTCTCTTAGTGCTGCTGGTGTTATGGTTTTAACCAGTGCGAGTGGTTCGGCGGAGGGTTTGTTGCTGCATGATAGTCATATCTGTAAAAGCCTCTGGTTAGAAAGTGCTGGTTCAAAAAATGTAAAATAAGCCAACATGGAAAACCTTGAACACGACTCTCAAGGATTGTTACCCAGAAGTCCCCTTCATCAAATCTGAGTTACGAGCGAGAGAAGTCGCCTCATTAGCTAAAAAGCCCGTTAACGCTGATGCCACGCTCGTAAATATTACATAAGTATTTTATTTCCCCTTCTGGGGGGGAACCAACTTCTTTCTCTGCCTGGTGTGTGTTTGCACACCGCCGCTCATTCAAGCAGAGCTTCTTCTTACTTCATCAATTGAAGCTCGAGTCCGTCACCGGCGGCTGGTTCAGGGCGGCGCTTCAGCGGATATCACTACTCGATTACCCGGGCTTAACGCTCTCTGCCGTCCTCGACTGACGTGCATCCAATATCTGCGCGTCCCTGCTGCTATTATCCTGCGTCCTTCTGTGATTCCTGCTACGCACACAAAACACGATGCATCCCACACGTGGAACGCGTCATTCGTGTGGTGACGGCTGTTATTCCTCAAATGCTATCAAGTCTTCCACTTCATTGTTGCTCATTTATGTCATATATATCTAAATAAATAATAAACTGCAGTGCGAAAATAATGACACGAGTGTTTAAAAGGCATCTGATATAAAGGTTGTAATTCAGCCTTTAAAAACACATCCAATATCTATGATGGCCTCGTACTATGATTTCAGATATCAAGATTTCAAGAAGTCTATTTGTCAAGTCGTGATTATTTTATTTTGTTTGTTGTTTTGTTGGATTTCTTTTTCTTCTCCATTGGCTCCATTTTTTTTTCTTCTTTTTTTGTCTGCTGTGAGCGAGTGAGCTGGAACTTTAAAAAACCTTTCACTAGCGCTCCAGACGTTTAGAACCCCCCCCCTCCACACACACACACCCCCCCCTCTTGAGTGGAGGCTGAATGCTGAATGCTGAGAGTCGGGCAGGAAGATGGAGGGATGGAGCAGAGTGCTTTGAAACAAAGCAGAAGCCCGAGAGGAGATAAACGGGTTAGCGAAGATACTGCAAAGTTATAGGGGGGGGGATTAGAAAGGATACATCCAAAACAGGCGGGTGGGGGGGTTGGAGTACGATTGTGATATTTGTTAGTCTTCATGCCCAAAGACACTCTGCTCCCACCAACATCCTTGAGGGAGGGGGCGACCCCCCGCTGTTGTGCCCGCAGAGCCCCGGGGCTCCATTGACATGGATCGGAGAGTGGGGGGGATTAAGAGATGTGGGGGGGGGGGGGTGTTCAGAGGGATAGAAAGAATCAGAGGAGACGGGTGGAATCACTTCGTAGGCAATGAGGGGAAGAGGCTGATAGACTGTGGGAAGTGGGGGGGGGGGGGGGGGGGGGGGTGTTGAGGGGTGAAAAGGGGGGGATGAAAGAGGTGGAGGGGGGGGCTTGGTGGGGGCTGCATCTGAAACAAGGATCAAGGCCAGACTCAGAGGGCGAGAGGGGGGGGGGGGGATTTAGTCAGCCAGGCCCTTGATCTGGGGTCACCGGCAGGGTGAGGCGACCTCGTGGGGGCCGCTGCTGAGCTGACATTCTCACTGGGCTCCAAATATGATCATTTTACACACGAACACGAGCACAGAAGCAGCAGGGTTCTTATTTCTGTGGCAGTAAAACAACGTCTACTCTCTTTCTCCCCCCCCCCCCCCCCTCTCTCCCTCAGCGGAAGCAGCGGGGGTAGTAGCAGCAGGGAGAACAGCGGCAGCAGCGGTATTGGCATTCCCATCGCCGTGCCGACGCCCTCCATCCCCAACCCCGGACCAGGTGAGCTTTGCTAGCCGCTCGCCGCGCGGCGACAGGCACTTTGGTGGCGCGTTCCTTCAGCGTGAAGCGCATATCTGTCTCTGCATTCTGAAGTTTCACTTAAATATCAGCTTAAAATTCAAAATCGTATGCCAAAACAAGGAGTGACACACAAAGCCTCTGTTTACCAGACAGGGATTATGCCGCCCATTGTGTCCCGGGCACAGCTGATTCTGTCCTCCTGTGGAAATAGGCCACGCTGGTTTCCAGGCGCACCGTGAGGCCCACGCAGGCCGCACGCGGCGCCGCGTTGCCCCGCGCACGCTTCCGCTTTTGCATTTCTTTTTACAAGCGGTTTGAGCTGAGCGAGACGTGTTTTAGGTCCACGAGGCAGCTTCTGCAGCACTGTGCTAAGCCGGTCGCCATGGAAACAGTCGATCCAGACCAGCGCCCCACCCCAGCCCCCACCTCCCCCCCCCAACGGGGTCCCGGGTGACGTAGAAGCGGTGTTATGCAACACATCACTGCTTTAAATGGTTACCAATGTCCTTTCAGTCCCGCCCATGTCTGCTCCCCCGGGAGCCCCTCCGCCTCCCCCGCCCCCGCCCCCACCTCCACCTCCTCCTATGGCCGGGCTCGGCCCCCCGCCAGCAGCAGCACCACCACCACCTCCACCACCTCTAGGTGAGACACCACGACCTCGGAGGCCCCTCCTGTGGGCTCTTCTGCTCGGATGGGGGGGGAAAGCACCACCCCCCCCCCCCTGGGATCTTCTTGTGGTGGAGGAGCTCAAATAAGGGTGTAGTGCTTTGGGCGGGTGCCTGTTTGTACACACTGCAAGCAAGAGGGGGCGATTTATGTCTGTGGTCAATGTTTAGGGCATCATTGGGTGGTTTATTGCTGAAGCTTTACGAGGAATCCCTTTCTGCGTAAAGGCCGATACTCACGGATTATTCCTGCAGTGTCTGAATATGACTTTAAAACATATACACGGTTTTGTGTATCCTTAATTCCTAAAAATATTTAGGAGATGAGGAGGCCTGATTGGCTCTGTTATCATTCAGCATGCTGACTGTTTTGCTTGCAGTGTGAACAGTTTCGTGTAGTATGAGACTTGATTTTTATTTTTTTTTATCCTCAGTGGTGGTGGTGCTTCCTAATTCTGCATTTATCTGCTTTAACTGGCTAATAAATAAGTCTCACATCCCCTTCGGCCTGGAAAAGTTTGAAAAACTGCCTTCAGAATCTCTACAAATCTGACCTGAATGTGCTGCACATCCGGAGAGGTTCTCCTCCTTAGCAACACGACACAACAGGGAATTTACCTCAAGAACTTTTGAGACTTCTTTCTTCACAGGTATTCACGGTGTGTGTAGGGGTGTGTGTGTGTGTGTGTGTGACAGTATGGAGAAGTTGTTTAGCTCCCGTGTTCCTCTGGATCTTCACCTCCTCCGGTTCCACCCGTCTCCCTGTTCTCTCCCGAGAGACAGCGCGCTGTCGAGAAATGTGAACAGGAAATACTCGAGATAATATCTTCCTCTTCTGTTTTCTCTCTCTCTCACACACAGTACATCCATAGTCTTTTCATGTTTAAAGGTGTTTAATGTTGCTGCAAATAGTACAAGTGTAATGATTCCCCCCCTCCCTCCTTCCCTGTAAATATTCATTTATAATCACCTCTTTTGATCACCCACTGTTTTGTTTTGGTGTGGGGATTGACTCCGTTGACCTTCTGCGACCTCTGTGTTTCTATGATTTAACCCCCGTTGAAAACTCCCCTTTGCAACTGTAACTCAACACGTAACAATCCGTGTTGCTTCCGCACACACCTGCTTCCTCAAATCGCTTATTGATTTTCCTCTCATCAGCTGTTGGGCTCCAATCCGCATTTAATGGCTCACGTTATCTCTTGCAATGATGATTCATGTTTTGGGTGCTTTTTTTTTCTTCTATCTAACACCCCCTCCTCCCTCCCTCCTCTCCTTCTCTCCCCCTGTCTGTGGGGGGTTCCTAGTGATGGCCCCTGGCCCTGGTCTGGGACCCGCTCCAATGTCCCAGTTCGGAACCATTTCGCGGCAGATTTCGCGGCACAACCCCTCCAGCTCCTCCGTCTCCATGGTGTCGGCCACGGGCACCTACCGCCGGGCGCCCTCCGTCACTTCCCAGTTCTCCCTGCAGCAGCAGCAGCAGCTGCAGCAGCAACAGCTACAACTACAGCAGCAGCAGCAGCAGCTACAGCAGCCTCATGTTAACGGAGGCACTCCGGGCTACGGCCAGAACTCAAGTAAGGCCCTTCGGTCCCCGGTCCTCGTTACCGACCCACATTGCTACAAATCCTGCACAGTCTGAGCTGAAGTGTTTCATCTTCTCTGTCTGGAGGTCCAGACCCAAAGCAACACATTTTATTATCAACTAAATACATCATTTAACCGTACTTCTTTTTTTGTCGTCGGCAAAGTACCCAACTATATCAGAAAAGCATGAAATACAACATGGTCATCCAGGTGATGATCATGTGGGCACCTTGAATTCTTACAGGCTTAACCTCCTCCCCCACCCGCCCCACCCGCCACACCACCAGTAAGAATGTGTCACGCTGTATGTCATGCATTCACACCTGAGATCAGATCACATCAGCAGCCAGACTCCAGATGTGTGTGTTTAGGCACCAAAGGACGTCGTCTCGTCTCCTTCACAGGAGCATTCGGCCACTTTTAATCCTCCTCACTTTGCATTGATCTCATCCAACTTTGGATTGACTGAGCACACATTTGCGATATGATATGCAGTCCTAGAGGAGGTCATGCTTTTCAAATTCAAATTTGCACATTCAAATGAGGATTTGTGTTATTTTTGTGTGTGTAGGCCAGCACAACTTTATTCACAAACGGTAGCAATCAATACTTTGTTCTGAGCCGATCAGCAGCTTTTCCTGGGATCCGGGTTGAGTTTGATGAAGCCCCGGATGCAAACAGCGCCTCCTTCTGGCCCCCCGGCCGCTCTCACTCGCTCTCACTCATTCATAAGCCGTGAGTGTGAGCTGTCTGACAGAAATCCGACCTAATCCTCCGTTCATCCCGAGGCCTCGGTGATCCACGGACACATCGTGAAATCTCCCAACCTTTCCGCTCCGATCTGTGGGCGCGCTGCAGCTACGGTTCATTTCATCCATCCGTCGATTCGACAATCAACACTTTTCCAGTCGACAGGACGATTCATTTGTGTTTGTGTAGGACGCGCACACGCTCGTCTTCTTGCACTCTGTCCGTCTCAGTACTGTGTTTTCTATCACACCGTCTGCTGTATGTTCCTGGTCACTGATGGGCTCTGTCTCTTCTTTCTCTCTGCCTTCCTGTCTTCTTCTCCTCTGCTGTGCTTTCAGTGTCTGTCGCCCCCCCTCCTCCCCCAATGCCCCAGCTGACTCCACAGATACCTCTGACTGGCTTTGTGGCCAGGATGCAGGAGAGCAGTAAGTGAAGAGGCCCAGACATACTTTCCTCCTCATCTGTGCCAAATACTCCCGTTTCTAGAGCACCCAGCATGCATTGTGCTTATTCCCCCCCCCCCCCCCCCCCCCCCCCCCACACACACACACGCACTTCTTCCCTGTCTGTCTCTCTGCAGCAATGCACCATCCAAGAATGTCTCATTAGAGAGCTGTCATGTTGAATGTAACTTGATCTCTTCAGCTTATAAGCTGCATTGCTTCACATTCTCAGCAGAATAAGAATCTCCTTTATGTTAAACCTGTGCAGCCGCCTGCTCATTTAGTAAACTAGTCTCATGCGGCGACTGACTCGTGGTATTTATATGCTGAATGCAGCTCTGCAGGTTTCAGCCCAGGTGAATGATAATGTTCAGTGTGTGTTGAAGATTGGACTCTTTGCTGCCCCTTTGTGGACACAAACCGCCATCACATCCAAATATTCTGGTCAGGAAGAAATGAAAATATTCATGAGGAGCTACTTGCATAATTTTTTTTTTTTAATGTTCCCCACCAACGTGGAGGCTGTGGCATGAAACTAACCTGCTAATACGCAGCATGACGCGTGATGTTCACGAGCGATCCACATGTATAGCAGACATCATCTCATGGAGTCCTACCTGCTGCCGCTGGATGGATCTAATATTCATACATCGTTATTCCTGCACGACTCGGCCGCCGCCTCCCGACCTCTTGACCCCCCCCACACACACACACACACACACACACAACCACCTCACTACCCGTCTCTGTCCCCACAGTTGCAGACGCTCCCACCCCCCCTCCCCCTCCGCCTCCCGACGAGATTCCCATGTTCGACGACTCCCCCCCGCCCCCGCCGCCTCCCCCGGTGGACTACGAGGAGGAGGACGCGGCCCTGGTGCAGTACAGCGACCCGTACGCCGACGGAGACCCCCAGTGGGCCCCCAAGAGCTACGTGGAGAAAGGTACGCAAGAAAAAGCTCGCTAAACGTTTGTGGGAGGAGCAAGAGCGGGTGAGGGGCGGGGGGGTGAGGGGTGGGGTCACTGCTTATCTGAACCAAACGCCTCCCTTCCTTTGTTCAGTGGTGGCCATCTACGACTACAGCAGGGACAAGGACGACGAGCTGAGCTTCATGGAGGGGGCCATCATCTACGTCATCAAGAAGAACGACGACGGCTGGTACGAGGGCGTGTCCGGCAGCGTCACCGGGCTGTTCCCCGGCAACTACGTGGAGTCCATCATGCACTACGCCGACTGAGGGGGGGGGGGTGAACAGTGACGTCTATTTATTCAGTCATATCGTAATCCGCTGAGAGACTGAACGCAGTCTTGACTGCTGACACGTAGACGTTACTGTATGACCCCCTCCACCCCCCTCCTTTTTTTTTTATATGACAGAATGGGCTTTCCCTTACCGATTGCGAATAAAATGAAAAGTAATCTATTTAGTTTATTTTTTGGTGTTGTACGGCCGGGTTGGGGGTTTCTAGGTAGTTGGACTTGAGAGACGACGGTCACACAGCTGAAGGATGTACGACCTCATCTGACCTGGACGAGAAAAAAACTAAATAGATTATCAAGTCGGGTCCGAGTCCTTTCCGTGACCACGGGGTCGCACCGGGCGTCGAGGTCACGTGAGCACATTCAGCGGAGCTGAAGACGGCGTCTGGCTTTCTGTGGTGTGAATTCGCTGAGTGTCGGTTGTGATATTTTACAAGTCTCATTGTAAAAGAACGACGGCCTGTCAATGACTCACAAATGGAAAAGTGCTGTGTTTGGTATTTCAGAGATAAACGATTACTCCCGAGAATCAGTCTCCGCGTTAAAGCATGCAGAATTTTAGAGATCAAATGTAATCTTGAGTTTTCTTGCTTCCGATATGTTGTAAATGTATTCACCTTTTTAATTTGTTACTGTTGAAATCACTGAACCTTTTTAGACTGAGATGCATTTTCAAGCTTCCCCCAACTTCCTAAACGCTCACTTGCATTTAAACTTTAAATCTATAGGAAGTTGAAATGCATTTGGACCCGTTTGAAGCAACATTCCACTTCAATAAAAATGGTCACATCACTGTGGTATTTTGTAACCTGCACGAGGTCCCATTTGGCTTCTGCTGGACAACGGAGATGTAACGTCGACCAATGAAACAACTCGATGACCTGCACAGGTTCTAACACCCGGGTCAGCTGTCACTCGGGTCCAGAGTCCATCTTGACCTCTAACGTACCATCACACGTCAGAACTTTTTTTTTTTTTTTAAATACTGCAGCTTCTGCCTTCAATTTGTCACCCGGTCGCTTTAGAAATGTTCCATTTCTGAAATCATGTCCCGGCTAATTTCATCGGTGGAAATATTCAAATCTCCGTCTGCCCTTCGTTTTGTACATATATGTTGATTGAAAAAAGTAATGTACAGTCTTTTATAATAAACAATTCTATGTACAACACGCTGTGTGTGTGTGTGTGTGTGTGAGAACTTGAAGGAAATCACAAAGGAGCGACAGCTTGAAAAAAAGCATGATTGTGGGTTTATTGATCACACAGTCCTTGAGGATGATGAGGCCTGTAGTTGTTTCAGGGCACTTTGATTAAGTGGCACATGAAGACGCACGGCTGTTGGGAGTGTGGACGTTTCTTAAACAATGACGTCGGCCCAAACAGACGCGCCGATTTGTCATCTGCCGCGTTTCGAATTACACTCATTTTACAACGCCGGCACGTGACAGACTCGCAACATCACATTACTCAATCGGGTGAAGAGTGAGTGCAGTTTTCAGTCTCAGCCATTCATTTAAGTTCAGAACATTTGCCCCCCCCCCCAAAACGATTACCACGGTCGCCGTTCAGGAAACCTGAATCCAGATGTGCACTAAAATCAGTATTTATATATATTTAAATATGGTATGTACCAAGTCAGCACCGGGGATCCTTATGAACCAAACTCCCATTGTTCTTAAATCAACCCTTTCTTCCTCTGACGCTGAGTCGGCGTGAACGCCCGAGTTGGTGGGGAGCTGCTCTGTTCACAGGTAGCTGCCTGAGGCGCAGCCTGACGGAGGAGCCTCACTTGTCCCTCGTCAGCACCATCTCAGTGAGCCTGATGAGGGCGTCTCGCTCCTCCGACGGCCTCAGCATGCTGACCTGCCGGATGGCTTCTTGACAGTAGCGCTGGGCCAGGAATTGGGTCTGCTGCACGCCGTCACTCTGGAACACAAGAAGAAGATGGTGATGGGTTGTCCTCATCGGCTTTTTTTTAATCTTGTTTATTTTTCACAACGCGCTGTTGGTCTCACCTGAAGGACGTACTGCCAGGCTCGATCGATGTCTCCTTCAGAGCTGAAGCGTCTCATGATCAACGAATGGAGCTCAGGGAACTGAAAGAAATGAAAAGATAACGAGATCAATAGGTGGTGTGTGTGTGTGTGAGTGTGTATCCTAGTGACATAAAGTTTCATCTCTCTCACCTGTTGACAGGCGAAGAGGACCGGCCCAGTGGCCAGGCCCAGTTTGAGGTCCACAGCCGAGGGCTTCCCCAGGTGACTGGCTCCTGATGTGAAGTCCAACACGTCGTCCACCAGCTGCAAGTCGGACAGAAAGTGACCGACGGAAGCATTTTACATGCAGACATGAAGCGTGTTTAAAGAGAGCGATTTTCTGTAGAATGGAGATTACCTGAAACGCGATGCCAACGTTCTCCCCGTACTTGTAGGCTATTTCATGAACCTTAGGATCAGAGGTGACCTGAACGCACACCTTGAATGACACAGAAGAGAAAGTCAACAAAAGAAAAACGCTTCAGGGTAGCAAGCGAGTCTCTTCTTCAGCGCCGCGATATTTGTGCCAAACAGAACGTACATACTGCTTTACAACTGTTTGCAATTAGACTCGCCGTCTTCTTGAAGGTTTTCTCCAGGTAGTGTTTGAATCGCTCGTTCTCGTTCTCCTTGGAGCCGAGCTGCATGAACTCCCCTGGAAGCACACAGACACACACACACACACACACACAGGGGGGTTTGGTAAGCAGACTAAGGGTCGTGACCCTAGCCTCTATTTAAAAAGAGGGGTGACACAACAGCCTGCAGTGTGGAACATGAGCCATGCTCTTTTTATGTTAACATGTGGGACATGAGTCAAAACAGAATGATTAATCCATCCAGTACACATTTAAATACATTCATCCCAAATGTTCTTATCGTGCTAATGGGATCACTACGCTGCAGCTTCTCTTTATACGTTCTATGGTTCCGACAGTTTGACGTTCGTAAGATGTAAAAACAGGAAAACTGATAAGTACAACTTTAAGAAGGATTTCCGCACCTCGCACCAGATCCTCCATGATCTGAGACATCACCTTGACGACCGTGTTGTCACCAATGCGAGCCATGGCCATGGAGGCCGTTGAAAGGATGAAATCTCCGGCTAAGATGGCCTGGAAGAGAAGAGAACAAAAAAGAAACCGATGAATCTTTATATCTTTAAAAAAATATGAAGCGGAAAAGTAAAAAGTTATTAAGAGCATATTCGACTCACCTTTTTTTCCCCCCACACCTCGTTGATGGTTCTCTTTCCCCGCCGTTTATCTGATCCGTCTATGACGTCGTCGTGCACCAGGCTGGCGGTGTGGATCATTTCTGCGATCATCGCTATGGTCCTCTGCCCCGGCAGCAGATCGCTGCAGAGGGAAGCCAGATCAAATAAAACCGTGCAATGTGCAAACATTTTGTCGAAACGTCTGCAGGGATCCAATCATACCCGGATCTGTTGCTGTGAGCGTTGAGTGCCCGGGCCATGAGGACAACAATCATCGGCCGGATGGCCTTCCCCTTGCCATCGAAGTAGTAGTCACACAGCACCTTCAGCTCCTCTTTGGATACGAACAGCTCCTGTGAGGCGGAGGAACACAACGTGGGAACGTCTCCTCTTCGAGAGGACGACACATCGCCGGCTCGTATTTGCGTTGAAAAAGTACCTTTCTGATGTCATCGTATAAGTTAGTTAAATCTTTCTGCGCTAACGTGAAGGGGTCCTTTAGCTTCACGTCGGTGTGCGCGCTGCGTCTGCACCCGCAGGACTGCAGGGTCGGATTCAGCAGCCGCGGACTGCGCCTGGAGGAAGAGACCACAACAAACAGTAACCATCAATATATATATATATATATATATATATATATATATATACACAAAATACTTGTATGTTGCTGGACGTATGGTGTGTCGTCGCAGCCACGACTCACCTGGGTAGATATCTGATGGAGTTAAAGGTATTTGGTTGCATCTGTGTCGGTAAAGCCGATTGCTGCCCCTGAAGAACAGAGAAATCAGGCTCATTGATTTGAGTTTCTGCTTTATTTACACGTCTTTAGCCTTTGTACAAGTTGCACATAGTTCCGACTAAGAGGACAAAAGAAATAGAGATAGACAGATGCTGGTGTCTGGTTATCAGTTTATTAGACAGGGACGGAGTTTGATAAACGTGGCTGCAAACTAACCCTCTTCTAAACCTTCCTACCTTCCATGTAAGCGTTTATCACTTTTTGGCTGATTATGTTTTACTTATATGTTACAAATACACAGTCGTTTCTGTCTCTGAGTGTAGGAATTTACACTTATCAGCACGCATAATCAAGAAACAATGATCACACTCTTAAGTAGCTTAAATGAATTAAATGGATGAGAAAACCAAGAAGCAACACGTGAATGGACGTTGACTTTGGTCAGACTTTAAGGGGACAACCCGCAGCAGGAGGTCCGTTCCTCTGCTCCTTTAGGAGCAGGTCCTGACCTTTGAGGGAGTTCTGAACACAACGTCCCCGTTCGTTTACCGCACTCTTAAAAAAAACCAACGGCTCAAATGTGTAACATCCCCGTCACGTCAGTAACGTCGAGACGCCGGTTTAGCGGGGAAATAACCCCCATTCATTCCCTAACCGCTCCGCGGTGACCTTCCCGGGGCTGCACCCCTCAGCCGGCGGGGACTCACCTCGCTCCCCGGCCCGGGGCTCCGCGGCGTCCGCCAGAGGGAGGCCGCGGAGAACGACGCCGACCGGCCGTTGACGCGCCTCAAGGTCTCCAGTAGCCCGGCGCCGGTACACTTCGTGCTCCACCGCCTGCACTGCCTGAGCCACGGGGACGCCATGTTTCCCGTACCGCCGGGGCGTCACACGGCGACGGACGACGGGTTAGGTAACACACCGGAAGCGGAAGTCGGTAACAGTTGGTGACGTCAGTTCCCTGCGAGGAGCTAACTGCCAGTGGCAGTGACGTTAGACGCGATCTCAGACAAACATCATTGATTTCCTCCCCAAGAGACGATTTTATTAACAGAAATGCAGCGGTACATGTCACCTAGCGGGTCTCCCCCTTAAAACTGTAGATATAAAATACGTATTACTACCGTGTATCCGGGAGAGTGGCTCGGAGTAGAGTAGTACGCTGTATTTGTGGCTAGCGTCAGTAGCACTGATGCTAACAGCTAGCTGGCTGCAGCTAAGTTAGCTAACGTTATGTTATGACTTTAAAACTGTTAAATCCCTTGATGTCTAGAACCTTTTCGTAGAAACAATCCATAACTAACGAACTATTAGCGAACCCATTTAAGCACTATTAACGTGAGATGTCATATGCACACAAGGCTTGCTGGGGCGGGACAGTTTAATTAAATATTAAATAAATAATTTGAGTTGCTTGTACTTTGCATGAGTATGAACATCCAAAGCTACCTGGCAGTTTTAAAGTAACTACCATTTTTATGAGTAACATGCTTTAATTTCACCATCAAAGCCTAAATTTAATGAGGTTGTATAGATTCACTAAGCAAATAGTTATGCTCCAAGTAAATTAAACCTACTCTTACTGATGAAAAGATGTTAATACTTTTACAGCACCAGAGTTCTCATAATTGAGCCATTTTAAAATCCTCATCAGCGCTTCCAGGAAGGTGTCTGCGTTCCGGGCGGAACATGTTCCCCTTCAGAGTGATGCTCTTTGCTCTGGTAGCAGCATCCAGTTTCACACCCGTCTGTGTGCTGCAGTTCTGCACCGACGGCGACGGCGACTGCCACCGTCACGACGCTACGGCATCGAGCAGCCGGCCTCCAAACACTTTCACGTCCAGGTGGAACGCAAGCGCTTCAAACCTGGACCGGTTCAGAGTGTCCTGCAAGAAGCTGATAGGTACACACACAGGGGAGACCCGCGTCTGTTTAAGTTAGTACGCCCCCAGTCACTGTAACAATTCAACCGTTTCCGTCCTCTCTGCAGAAGCGTTCCCCATCGATGAGGGCGGAGGGAACTACGCCCGCTCCGTAAAGAACTGCATATTCTCCAAATCCACTCCAACTCCCCTGAAAGGCCCGTTGAGGCTGGCAGCAGCTTCCAAGGTGTGGTTACAACATCAGCAGAGTCCGTCCCGTGAAATTGTGGCGAGGACTTCATACCTGCATTTGTCTCGTCAGGAGGTCATGGAGGACATACTAGACTTAGACGTGGCCGTGACCCGGTCGGATGACTTCCTGCTCTACGCCAGCGGAGGCAGACTTCCACCGGGATCAGCGCCACTGGCTCACAGATACGGCGGCCATCAGGTAACGGTTCATCGTCAACTCGGGACTAGATCAGCTAAAAACTGGAGAGGTCAAGGAGGCTTGGACGTCTCTTTTAAAGTTCCTCTATGATAATTACATCTGGGACTACATCTGATCGCAGGGGACGACTTTGAAATGTGTTGATGAACAGCCTGTCTCATCATCAGTTTGGCTACTGGGCCGGTCAGCTGGGTGACGGACGAGCACATTCCCTGGGTCAATACACCAACAGGTAAAACATTTTGGAATGAGGTTATTTGTCTACTCAAAGTTGCGTACATTTAAGTTAAAACTTTTAACCTCATTATAAAATGTGCACAGGAAAGGAGAAGTGTGGGAGCTGCAGCTTAAAGGCTCTGGGAAAACACCCTACTCGAGGTATGTTGAACTCCTTTTACGCCTTCAGCTAAAATGCGTTCATATGATTTACCCCGATTTACACCTGGTAATAATCATTAAATCACACTCTTCCATTCATCCTCGTTCCAATTTTTTTCACATTTGCCTCTAAAGGGCAGCAAGACGCCGCTGTTTTTAATGTGATTAATGTGAATGCAGGTCGGGAGACGGTCGGGCCGTGATCCGCTCCTCCGTGAGGGAGTTCCTGGGAAGTGAAGCGATGCACTTCCTCGGTGTTCCGACCAGCAGGGCCGCCAGGTGACGCAAGGCGACTGAGTCCCGTATCCAAAAGATACCTGACATATATATATATACATATATATATATATATATGTATGTATGTGTTTTGACTTTGGAGGAATTTTAAAGGACTCCTCAGAATGCCACTATCTGTGTTAACCTGCCTGCTTTTAAATTGAATTGAATTGAATTAGTGATGGTCTCTGTTTTAGTCTGATTGTAAGTGACGAGCCGGTGATGAGGGATCAATTCTACGATGGCAACGTGAAGACAGAGAGAGGTGAAGGGGCTGATGAGATTTTTAAAAATATATATTTTCTATTAAATTTAATGGTTCATTACATTTATTTATTTTTCCGTTCACAGGAGCGGTCGTGCTCAGATTAGCCAACTCGTGGTTCCGCATTGGATCTTTAGAGATTTTGTCTCAAAGTGGCGAGATTGATCTCCTGAGGTGATCGTGTTCACATTATCTCCTCATCTTACATCCAACTATCCTGCAACTTGTCACATGACGTCGTTCTTCTGTGGATTTTAGAAAGCTGTTGACCTTTGTGATCGCCGAACATTTTCCTTCAATCCATCCCGATGACCCGGACAAATATTTGGTGAGTAAGATGAAAAATAAATACGTCTTTTTTTAGTTTTACCTTTCTAGGTGTCCTTCCGGCATCGATTACGAGATGAACCCGTTTGCATCATCACAGTGTTCCATGTCTTTGTTTCTTTATGTAACTTCCTGGTTTCAGCGCTTTCGTTTCCGTCCGTCTCTTCCAGGCGTTTTATTCCACGGTGGTAAATGAAACCGCTCATCTCATCGCCCGGTGGACGTCGGTCGGGTTCGCCCACGGTGAGAACATCGGCTGACGCGTGCACGCATTACGCCATCGCCTCTATGCCTGACGTGACGTTTTATCACAACAGGCGTGTGCAACACGGACAACTTCAGCCTCCTGTCCGTCACGCTGGACTACGGGCCGTTCGGCTTCGTGGAGTCCTACAGCCCCCGTGTGTAGCCGCGCGCCTTCTCGCCAAACGTCGGGTCGTCCCGCTCGGGTTTGAATCCTTAAAACTAATTTCTCCCTGTTTTTTGCAGGTTTCGTCCCGAACACCTCAGACGACGAGGGGAGGTACGCCATCGGGGCGCAAGCCGACGCGGCGCTGTTTAACCTGGAGAAGCTGGCGACGGCGCTCGGCCCCGTGCTGCCCGGAAAGCAGCAGAGCGAGTGAGAACGCCGCCACAACCGTTCATGTTGAAGGAGCAAACATCAAGCGCCTTTGAGCAGTACTGACTTTGAACCAGCAGCTCTGTGACATTCTGGTGGAAAAATACTGGACTAACATCATCTTAATCGTCCTCCAGGGCTCGGGATATTTTAAAAGGATATGTGGACATTTATCATAAGAGGTAAGTTCCATATGATACGTATTCTGTGTCCAAGCAGTGAGTGATGATATTTCATAGCTGCGTTTGTCAATGTGTTTCAGGACTCATCGGCTATTTAAAGCTAAACTGGGGCTTCTGGGGGAAGAGGAGGATGACGGCTCCCTCATCGCCTTCCTGCTTAAGGCAAGTCATCGCATGCTTCCTGTGACCAACAGGATATTGATTTAACTCTACTTACTGTGTACAAACACCCGATCTGATGGGTGTTCAGATGATGGAGGAGACCCACTCAGACTTCACCATGACCTTCAGGCAGCTCAGTGAAGTTTCATTCCAGCAGCTTCTCAACAGGAACTTCACACAGGTAGAGCTGAAGTAGCCTGTAGGTTTATTATAACATCTGGTCCACACAGTCATTGCATGTGCAATTTTAACTGCAAAATTATTTTATAAGGTGAATAAAAGGTGATAAATATGACAGATACGTTTACGTTTATTATTTTTGTGTATTAGTTGTGGGCTCTGGAAGACTTGTCGTCCCACAATCTCTTTCCTGATTGGCTCAGCATGTACCGGCTCCGCCTCCTGAGGTAAGCAGAGAGATGGACACTGATGCCTTTCAGCTTGAAATATTTTTCTGGGTTTTTCTCATGTAAAATACTTTTTTTCAGACAACCAAATGATGGTGATTTGGAACGACAGCAGAGGATGAAAAGTGAGCGACTACATTTACATGTTGAGATAATTGTTTGACTTTTTTTTTTACAAGTCGGGCTGATCGTTGTCTTGCAGATGAGAATCCCCGATATGTGCTGAGGAACTGGATGGCTCAATCTGCAATAAGTAAAGCAGAGAAAAATGATTTCTCTGAGGTACGTGAATGATATCTTTGAATTTATTAAACGCATCGACATACTAATACTTCCATGAGTTTTTTTGACGTGTTTCCTTTAAAAAATATTCAAAAGTTCTTCACTATTTCTGCAACAAATGGTGGATGTTTTCTGACTTGGTGTCTGATGTTTGTGCCCCACTAGGTGGAGCTGCTCCACCACATTCTTTCGTTTCCCTTCATTACACAAGAGGTGGCAGAGAAGGCGGGTTACGCACAAAGACCTCCATCGTGGGCAAAGAGGTTAAAGGTCAGCTGTTCCTCCTGAGAGGGACTTTGACAGTGAATCACACCTGAGGCTTTGTGGTACATTTTATTCAACTTCTTCATGGAACGAAGGCCTTTAAATTGTGGTGAATTCACTTGTTTGTAATGCAATATTAAATAAACTCAAAGATGTTCAGCAGTGGTTGTACTACTTTTTTTAAGAACTAGGTTCACATACGGTATCGTTCCTCACACACCAGAACTAGTTCAGTGCTTTTACATTTCAGATGGTTGAACTCCGACAGGAAGAAAACACTAAACAACAAACATTGATTTTCATGAGGATCTTTTGCCACCTTCCACATAGCTTGTAACTGATTCGAGGACTAATCCGGTTCTCTGTATATGATCATTTTGTTTACAGTATTTACAGCCAACATGTCAATATGTACAATCCTCCGAATCAGTGATGAAGGAATTATACTTTTTATGTTTTCTTCTCGGCATCGTTAAACACAAGATGTTTGCTTTGGAGAATAATCCTCCTCTCGCTTATATCACGCAAGCTGGCGTCATCCATAAGAAGGGGGCCGGGCGACCCTTCCGGAGGAGGTCAAGTCCCTGCTGGTCTCCACCGGCTTGGCGTTGGAGCAGCGCGACGCACGTAGAGCGTCAAGGAGCGCCGCGCTTCTTGTTCATGGCCATCGCCAGTTCCGACATAAAGTCTCCTCCCGCAGCCGCGGAGGGTGCAGCTGTCCTCTTTGGCGGAGCGGGGGGCCTCTTCTTCACCGAGCCAGGAGCCCCAAAAGCCGGCCTCGGGGCGGCGGCGGCGGTGGGAGGGGGTGGTGGAGGCGGAGGGGGAGCCCCGCCCCCCGGGAAAACGGGCTTAGGTGGAGGCAAGAACTCCGGGTCGGGTGGCGGAGGAGGCAGACACTGGTTCGCGTCCTTGAAGCTCACGGGGGGAGGCGGCAGTGGGGGGGAGTTCAACTGTGGCGGAGGAGGAAATCCAAAGCCAGCGGCAGGAGGAGGGGGTGGGAGGAAGTCCGGGGGGGGCTCCGAGGCGTCGTCGTTGGGCGGGGGCGGGGGCGGGGGCAGATGGTCCATGGCGGGTGGAGGCGGAGGGAAGTTGGTCGGCAGGTGTCGCTGGGGGGCGGCAGGTTTCGGAGACCTCTTGGCCGCCAGAGAAGGAGGTGGGGGAGGTGGAGGAGGTGTAGGAGGGAGGAAGGGCTCTGGAGGAGGCGGGGGAAGGAACTCTGCCACAGGTGGAGGTGGGGGGGGTCCAAAGTCCTGAGAACACCGCAAATAACACCATTCAATGAGTACTTTCATGAGTACTGTACTGCACCTTAAATAGTTTTACTACGACTTGTATCTTGCTTTTAGTCGGTTGTATTCAACCAACTTTCCTTTTTTTCTTTATGTGGAAAAATGTCAAGTATAGTATTTCAATGAAGTCTTTTTTATGACTGTTTCCCACCATCACGTTCTTTTTGTTCACACACCATTTTAAGAACTAAGAACACTTTAACAGAATGAAGCTTAATCATGTGAAATAAAACGGTATAATACCCTGTAACTGACACAATATCACCAAAACGCACAGGGATCACTTTGGCATTTGGCCGTTTTTCACCATCTTGTAGCATTTTACAGACTGAACAATCACAGCGAGCAGACCGCTGCATCGCAGGGACCTTCGTACCTGGGAGGGGGCCGCAGGTTGGGGCCCTGGTTGGGCCTCGCAGCATGCCCGTTGGCCTGGCTTCGGGACTTGGCTGCGAGAGAATAAATAAACTCCGTGAGGTTTGAACCGACACGGGTGCATCCGTGTTTGGGGGGGGGGGTGG